AACGGACAGAGAGATTTACTGCGCCTTTTTTTAATAACAAACATGGTCAATCATTTTTAAATCACGTGTATTGGTTGTTTGGAACAGAAAATGACTGGTTTCCTTCGAAATGTCTGGATCATGTGCAGACTTCCGCGATAGAATCATGGTCGTGCCCACGGAGCTGTAGGGTGCATTTGTATTTTAGCTATATGTTTGTGTTTCAAAGTTGACTCCGATATGCTGGAAGAACAAAGAACAGCTATCCGGAATTCCGAGGCTTAACATAAGCTTAAAATAAAACAAAATATAGGAGCTTTCGGTCTACAGGCAGCTACTATTGAAGCCTTTACTATAATAAATTTTCTGTCGAATTGCGAAGTAATGTGTTTTTTAAAGTTATATTTCGGTTGCGTAGTTTACATATTTTGTTACGACAATTTAGCCAACGCTTACGGATGTAACATTCTGTGCACTGCTTCTTTCATTTTGATTGATCGCTTGATATTGACAAAAAATTTAGCCAAGTGCTATGGAGTTGTGTTGAAAAGTTGATGTGGTTGTTCTTTCCACGTTATTGTATAGAAAATTCATTACTTCAATTGAGTAGCGTCGCTGAAAAATTCTCTTTTCCAGGTTTATTGATTTTACTGTGGAATCCAGAATTCACACTATGTAATCTTCAATAACTTCCTATTTGACATAATGTTTGATATAAATGTTTAAACTGACACAAGTGTAACATCAATGTTATCACCATTATTTGAATTCATATGATAACTGGTCAGTCCCAGTAATGCACATTATTTACTCGATCAGTCACCGATCAAATGGCAATAAGATCAGTACAAACGAAGTTATTGTATTTTTAACCTAATTCAGTCCTGTAAAATGTAGTGCCCACATTGTCGAGTCACCTGGACTGGTGACCACATTGCAACATGATCGATAGCATTCGATCTGCACTAATAAGGACTAGGCAAGCATGACATTGATCACCACCCAGTGATCAATCAATTGTGATCACATCTCAGTCCTACAAGAGGTCAGTCGCGGCTCGGATAGCTCAGTGGTAACGTCTCTGACTGTGAAGCTGGATGACACGAAATCGAATCCGCTAGGGAGCATCAGCCCCCTCAAGATTACAGGTACACTTTGCTGACGAGTGCCAAATAGCACGAAACCCGGCTCCAGGTTTTCCTGTTGACTACCTCCAACCACCATGCAGATCTCACTATACTGTTTTGACATATGCTTAGTTGTTTGAGGTGAACTCTTGACCAACTAACCTAAGCTGTTACAAGTCCAAATTCTTGCTGATAAATAGTGGAACCGCACTCATTTCCGTAATCTTGCAAGAAAAACCGAGCTGATGCCTATTTGTAAATAATTTGGTCATAGACACATCTCCCATTTTGTTCTCGGTCTGTGTACTTGTTCTCAAGGATTTTCTTCCACTCTGGTAGCGAGAAAAGCGTCTAACAAATTGAGATCCTCCTTGAGTTTTGAGGTGCTAAAATTAGTTCTTTGATGATAACGCCAAGCTATCTTCGTCTAAAACCAAGAGCTGGTTTTACTATGGCTGTATCCACAGTGTAGTTAACCCTGAAGATGAAGGCGGCTTATATTGCGTTCCATGAAGATATGTTGGGGAGAATAAACTTCTAAAACGCAAGACGTTTATTTCTGATGGATGCTCAACATAACACATGGATAGGATTTAAACTTGAATCTACTGTCTATCTACAATAATTCTGTTCGTATTATACACGGAGATGCCTACCGCAAGGCTCCATAACCCGTCGCTACTAGAAACAAGTCTCATTAAGTGGGATCTTTTTGTGTCCCATTCACAACCGAAGTAACCATTGTTTAAACGTATCACGAGTACCGCGACCTAGGTTTCAGCGCTAGTTGTGGTTTTCAGGGTATTTTATTGTTTTTGTCCTCCGTTGTAAAGTGCTCTGTTTTTTTCCATTGCAATAAATCCGACATTTTATTTGATTCTCCTATGTTGTGTCATGGAACACTGATGTCATTTCACATTCCTTAAATTTGTTGTGACTGCTGCGTAAGCAACTATGGAGCTATATACCTCAACAAGCAGCTCCGTTTATATGGAATTATTTCGAGTAATTTCATGAAATATATATTTTATTAGATAAGACCAACACTGTTCACTACAACGTGTCCATATTTCCGCTCGTTTACTTAGATACAGACATTATTTTTCGCATAGTTCAAGGGTGCTCTTTTTGATACTAGATACAGAAGCCCGTTAAGCAATAAATTCTATTCCGTCCACAACCACTTGAACTTCGAGGAAAAATTAGTCGATTTTGTGAAAACTCCATTTGAGGGAATGCAACAACACCTAAAATGCCCGTTGGCCTTTGGCTTCCATTCAAAATATTCCCGTTGTATGGGACAGAAAATTTACTCCGAATTGAGATGTTGGTAGGTTTGTATTTGTCAGGAAATGTGGTTTAATACCCACACATAATTGCAAGTGTTCTCGAAAACTACCGATACTGGTAGAAGTTTTCAACTTGGCCATCACCCATACTCACAATTAGCTGGCAGTGTACGTCTCATCTGTTTTCCTTAATCGCTAGGGTAAATCTAATAATTTAATCTAAACAATACTATGGAATGCTGTAGATCCTACATGGAGTTCGAACTTCTGCAAACCTGTCATTGATGCCGACAAAAATCAGTTTTTCATCAATAATGTTTGTTGTTGACAATCGCCCTGGTGTACTCGAAACGTATGAAAATGGTATCACATTTAAGTTATTTGGTTGGATGTTATTACTTAGGATATTGTCGTTCTTCGATTATGCTAAAATCCTTTGTAAAAGCATCGCGCAAAAACTTGGCGTTCAGCGTACTTTACTTGGGTTGTAAGTTATTATTTTGAGGGTTAGTCAGTCAGCTACAACGTAGGACCAGGCACATATATGCATCGGTTCAAGTTGCCATACCTCATTAACACAACAAGATGGACACCGGATTCATAAAAGTAGTTAATTCAGAGGTGGTAATATATAGAAGAAAGATTGCAATAAGGATATAGTACATGAAGAAGGAATTAGTTCGTATAAAGATATGAAGCGATTTCAATCTCTTAGTTTAAGGGAAGAAAAAGAGTGTATACACCGACGCCATTGTGGTCGACTCTGAGCCATGTCACCCAAAGTCTCCAACCATTGGTTACGATAGTCACGCGGACCCCAACAAAGTAGTCTGCATCTACCAACATGGCTGAGACTAGGAGTCGTGGTAATCGGTGTTCGGGCACACGTAACACGTGGCCAACCATCTCAGTCGATGAAGATTCACAACCTCATCAACTGATTTACCACCATGCCCTAATACCCTGCGTCTAACCTCACTATGTTTACAACTTAATTAACGAGTGTGAGATAGTCGACGAAGGCAACCAATCCATTCATCTTCAGATCTTAACTAACAAAACCTTGATATTGAGCAACTCAAAGTTGTTACTCACCTTATTATACCATATTTTGCCCCAGAATATGGCGAATATGGTTGTTATTAGCACATCACTCCACTATTACTTTTGGTAAGGACTACTTGTAGATTGCAGATATCCGGTCGTTGATGACTTGTTTAGAATAACTAGCCCGTATATGAATCAATGTCAAAGGTTTTCCCAAATCATCAAACGTTATTTGTTGGTTCTTAAATCCATTTTTTACATAAATGTCTTTCGATTCACGTTGGTTTGTTCGCCTACTTTTGGAACTATTAAGCGATGGTCTCTTGTTTTCCACTGGACGTTTTAGTCTATATAAAAGATCTGCTTTTCTTAGTCTTTAACTTTAGGTTTTCTAAGCGGTACCCCAACGCTTTTTATCGAGGTTTCTTTCTACTGCACGGGTTGCTGATCCTATGCCCAACCCTCCTTTGCCTGGACTTAAATCTGTCATTAACTTTGGGTCTACAGGCGGAAAAAGACAATTTAAACCATTTAAACTCTGCTATGGGAGTTGGAGGGTTTCCACTAAGAAAAATTACACCTCATGGTGAAAGCCGAAATTCTTCGGAAGTCACGAGGCTTGTGTCCCTTCTGACAACCAGAGCAACATTTAATGTAGGTACTTGGAATGTCCGGGCATCGTGGGAGATCGGGCGGACTATTCGAAAAGCTACGGAGACGAGGAGATACAAATTGACGATGCTCGGATTAAATAAAACCCATTAGACCCAAGCTGGACAGAAAAGCATAGATTCGGGAAATGCTGTTGTACTCTGGTCATGAAGAAGAAAATGCTTCTCACACGAGCAGTTGTGCTGATTCTGTCGAAAGAAGCACGAACACTTATAGGTTGGGAATCTCGTGAGTCCAGGGTAATCGAAATATCGTCAAAACAAAGGGGATCACAGGAGATGTTACCCAGTTCTATGCACCTAATTGATGTGTGGTAGTGAAAGTATGGGTAGGGTTAGTCGTTGAACATGGACAAACAACCACAGCCCACGGTCTATTAAATATGCGATTTTCCTTTTATCATGGATCTCGACGCGAGAATCACCGTGTGACCGCTTGTCATTGTATTGAATAAGGTATTCTCTAGTTTTAATCAGGTTCTTTATTTTGAGTCGCGAATCCTGATTTTGGTATAACGTGATTATTAACGTATTATTGTAATATACGTATGGGAGGAAAAAAATATTGTAAACCATCCGTTATACCACTAACAATGATAGCAAGGAAGACGATAAAAGCCAGTTTTATGAGAGGCTACAGTCGAGCGTATAGAAGTACCCAGGAAAGGATCTAACCATCCTGATGGGAGATCTAACCTTCATAGCCGGAATAGATAACATCAAGTATGAAGATATCACGGGACGACATGGACTGGAAGGAAGGGACGAGGATGACGAGAGATTTGCAAATCTATGTGCTTTCAACAAATTTTTTATGGGTAGCACTATATTACCCCACGAACGCATACACAAAGCTATATGGGTCTCACTGTATTACACTACGGAGAACCAGATAGATCATATTTGTATCACTAAAAAATCCAGAAGGTCAATGGAAGACATGAGAACCAAGAGAGGAGAGGACATAGCTTTAGATCACCACCTGGTTGTGGCCAAGGTGAAATTGAAGCACTGGACAATCGGAGAAACACCATTAAAAAGGTTTAATACGGCCTTCTTTTGAGATATTAACAGACAAAGAATTCAAGATAGCTCTCAACAACATGTTACCAGCCTTACATGAACTCAAAAATGAAACTATTATGGCTAAAAAGTATTCTTTTCGTAGACGTAATGTCAGTTCGTGAAGAAAACACTAAACGTAGATTTATTCCCTTACTCCTAACTTTCACATCTATTCGTTTCGAACCCAACAACCGTTTGGCATTCTACTTGTGGAATCGTTCGAGGCCGTACATATGCTTTCGTCCCACCGTGTGCGTTATGTTTCTGATCTTGGTCTTGCTGTTTGAGACGTGGCCATGCGCTCTGTGATGTTGAAGCTCCATTCTACCACTTACAATGTCATCGCTAGTTTATTTTCCCTTTTGTGGTTCAGCTATGATTTCATTTTGAGTCTCTCGTACTACTTTGTTCTTATGGTATTTTAAACTTTTTGTTCTACTGGGTTATCGATTTGATTGTTATCATAGTTTAGTTTTGCTAAACTTAACGTCTCTATTATCGTCGCAGACTTGACAGAAAAGAGATAACGCTCTTCATTCACAAAAGTTGTTTGTCTTATTCCATATGGTAACTTGTTTCGAATGCAATGTAAAATCATTGTTAAATAAAGTAACATTTAGTACACTTTTAATACTGTTCCCTCAATGTGTTGTAAGCAGCGCAAATTTAGGTCTGTGCGCACTTGTTACGCATGCTTAGCCATTACATACCTCAGTGTACTGGCAACACCGAATTATATTAGAAGACTGTTATAGATGGCCAAACCGAAGTGTCACTAGTCTGTCGTATCATTGACTATTTTTTGAGCTATGTGATAAGGTGCATATATATATATATATATTTATCATGTACTCTAGTATTATATTTCTCTTTATATTAGTCTTTTCGATTCCTTACTCTTCTAATTTGGTTTGACTACTCGAACCTAGTCACACTTTTTGAATGACTGCTCAAGTACTCGATTGATAGAGAAACTTGTATAATATATTTTTCTTTTGAGATCACACGTTAAACTTCTTATTACAGGTCTAAGTAAAAATAAATATTTTTTCACTCCGTTCACTACAGTAACAAATCAATTAGCGTATGATGCTACTTCCAAATGTATCGCGAGATTTGCAGATAGCAATTTTCAAAGCTTGTAAGTTGCTTATTTTCATTTCCTTCTACTAAAGATCCTAAAAATATAAAATCTCGTAATGATTGGTTTAGTTTTCTCAATCATATGGAAAGGAAAGTTAGATCATTGGATCGAGAGTCAACAGCGACTAACATACTTTTAAATTTATATAAAAGTGCTATAGATGTAAGTTAATACACAAACAATATATATACGTTTGTATGCTAGTCATTAGAGGTGGATTGGTCAGATGAAATTTATCTTACAATTTTTATCAGAACAGCAGTTTTAGCATCATATGAGTAAGTTATTTATTCTAGTTATAATTTAAACTTAGGAATTCGGACTGCGGTCCTGCATTTCTGAGCTTATGTTCTATAAATGGACGTCGAAATCCACAGTTGATTGCGGCTGTAGCTTATTATTATTCTAAACAAGGTAAATATCTGATTATTATCAGCTCATTAAAATTTCCAGGAGATAAAAGTAGAGCTAAAAGTCTTTTAAACTCGACAAAAAAGTGTGTAGACATATGTGGGGTGGAATTGTTGTGTAGAGCCGAAAGTATGCTAGATACAGACGATGATTTCAAATCGTTATTAGGACCATTTTATTACAAACCAGACTTTTATTTCCAAGGTGAGATTTTTATGGTAGATAATAATTGATTATTTCAACTAGATATAAATTGTTCTCAGGCAAGTTCAAGTGAAATTTCTTCAGTTCTGGATTCTACTTGTGCAAATGAGTAAGTCTATGTTAACCACTTAAGGAATTCTAAACATTCCATATCAATCAGTAACAACGTAGAACTTCGTATGTACGTACATCAGTTCACGTTGCCATTCCACATTAGCACAGAGATGCAGTTGTCGATTCAAATCCCATAGTGGTAGAGGTGGTAAGAGTATAAGCAGTAATCGGAAACATTAGGGTTTAAAGATGTTATTCAAGGAGTATAATCCAGTGAAACAAATTTGGAAAGAGGAAAAAAGGGATATGAAGAATTCAGAAGATTAGAATTTGGGAGATCACAGAGAGTAGATGCACCTGCGCCATTGCAAACGATTTTGAGCCGTGTCATTCAGGGTTTCTAGCCATCGGTCGCTATCATCTCGCGGTCCCTAACCATGTAGTCTACACCTACCAACATGGCTCAGTTCACTTGTCAGTGACTTCATGGATTTGTGCCACGTTTTGGTCTGGCCATCCCTACCTTTCTTCCAATCTCCTCCTACACCATAAAACATTGCACATCGAGGCAGTCGGTCGTTGGGCATACGTAACACGTGTCCCAGCCATCTTAACTGATGAAGTTTCACTATTTTCAATTGATTTGCCATCCTTACCTAGTACCCGTTCCCCAACAACTGTGTTACTTACTCGGTGGTCCCACGATATACGAGCAGTATTTCGAAGACACCTATGATCAAATACTAGTAACCTACGGATATCCTCTACTCTTACCGGCCATGTTTCACTACCATAAATTGAGACGAAACGAACTGCTGCGCAGTAAACCCGTCCTTTGGTTGATAGACGGATATCTCGCCTACGCCATAAATGACGCAAGTTGGTAAAAGCTAGTTGAGCCTTCTGTATCCGTGCTGAGATTTCGTCACACACCAGACCACAAGGGCTGATGAGACTTCCAAGATAAGTGAGGCGGTCGACACGTTCATCTACTTCACTCCCTATCATTAGTTCGGGTGTCGAAGCAACCCAATCCTGAAGCAACATTTTGCATTTTGAGGTGGAGAATCACATTCCGAACATGCTTGCATTAATGCTCATTGTAGTCAGAAGACTGCATTTTGTCAGCGTTTTCACCAAATAGAACTATGTCATCAGCATATTCTAAGTCAGCAAGTGAATCTCCCGGTTAAAGTTCAACCCCTGGAAATCTAGATGAGGAAAGTGTCATCTCCAAAAGCATGTCTACGATAAAGTTAAACATTCCATATTATCAAATGTGTGGTACTAAGCCCATCCTTCTAGTGAATACTATCGTAATGTCAGTCCATCTATGCAACTTAGCTTTCTGTATCTTACGATTATTATTGTTATTATTATTATTATTATTATTTATTTATTTATTTGAACACATAGATATTGGTACAAGGAGGCACCAAATACATATGAGCCAAACAAATCTCATTTAAATTGTGTGAGGGCTGTGATACTGCTCGGGTGCCCAAACCGAAGCAGGCGGTTTTCTTAAGGGGCCACACCCGGACCCTTCGACCTGAAGGTCTGATCCACAAGGCAGTGGAGTATCGTAAGGAGATGCAGTCCCATGGTAGCCGGTGACCAACAATTGGTTCATACGCCACTTGTTCCTTCAGGATACTGGAGACCATGTGCACCATTGGTTTGGAATCATGGTTTTCCAACTCCCCTAGGTGGGCTTTCCATGTTCACCGCCCCGGTTAAAGCGCCGGACATTCACTTTTCGTCCTCTCACTTTCGTAAACAACATCCTCATCACGAGAAGGCAGTGAGTAGGACTTCCCTGGCAGAGGCTATATAAGCATGGCCATGTGAGAGCATTTCGAGAGGGAGAGCGGACTCTCCCCACTCTCGGCCGTACCAGGGCATTTAAGGGCTTCAGAGGTTCCTCAGATTCCAGCCAAATTAGTACATAGCAAGTTGTTGTTGAACTATTAAGCATAGAAGTCGTTGGGTGAATTATATCCGTAAAGATCTCAGCATCGGAAGTTAAGTGGTCTCAATGTCTCGGTCGGAAGTGTAGCCTGCGCTTCGTCACAAAAATAATCATAATCGATATATTAATAAAGGGCCTCGCATTTAATCACATCATTCGTGACTTGTATATGACCTAGTACTAACCAACTTATTCGATTTCTGTCAACATAAGTTGTACCACATCAAAGTACTTATCTACTTTAGTATAGTTGCCCCGACTGTTTGTTGCTACCTTGACGTGGTGGTCGGGCTTGCCTATCGTGATGAACCAACTGAGCTATACTGGCTGGAACAACCGTTCCTCAAGGTCCTACCATGTCAGAAAGGTCGATTGATGAGCGGTAAGACTAAAAGCAACAAACCCAAGGTCCGAAGGCGAAGTCGTACTGCTGACTGTACAGAGGTGTGACAGCAGTAAGGTGTTTCCTTCAGACAACCAGCATGACAGCGATGCTGCCTTCCCACAAGGAGAGGTGGGGTTAGAAAAGGTCGACCCTAAAAATGCACACCTCGCCTTATCCCACGGATATCCGTCTCCGGCGGTAAGGTCTCAGCAAGTACGGAGCTAACACAAAAATTACCCATAAAAAGTCGTGTGTGACCGACCTCAAGCAGTTGTCCCTTGGGCACTGCGGTCACGCTCTCAGGTCACTAAGACCACCTCTAATCCAATTTCCTTTTCAGGTACCTCCAGAAGAACCCTTCCACGGTGTGGGCAACCGGGAAGTGATAACCGCCCTCATACCTCTAACAACACTCAAGACCACTGTATTCATAATCAACCTCCGTCTTCACTTCCTATTATTCCTCCTACATCGACTTTAAACTTCCTTTTTTGGCTTCCCTCTCAAGTGTCACCATAGCCAACGATTCTAGTGCTCAAAACACTGTCCCAGGTCTACTGAAACCTCGCTCCAAACTACACATTGGAGCCTTCAACGTACGCACCCTATGTCAAATCGGTCAGCAGGCTTCCTTGGCTAAAACCCTAGAATCTCGTACCATTGATGTATGCTGTGTCTCTGAAACACGCATACAGGATCCCAGTGTGGTCATTCACTTGACCTCACCTCGGCAAAACGGAGAGCCAACGAGATACACCCTCCGTGTATCTGGTGACCCGATGGCCAGTTCTCGTGGACTGGCAGGTGTAGGCATAGCACTAAGCATGAGGGCGGAACAAGCACTGCTAGAGTGGATCCCCGTCAACAGTCGTTTATGTGCTGTTCGGCTAAACGGCTCCGTAAGAACTCGGAAGGATAGGGACACACGTCGTTGCCTTTTTGTCGTTTCTGCCTACGCTCCCACTGACTGCAGCTCAGATGAAGTGAAAGATGAATTTTACAGAAAGCTATCTGAACTTCTTCAGAAAGCTAAACGCTCAGACATAGTACTCGTAGCAGGTGACTTTAATGCCCAGATAGGTAGTTTAAACCAAACAGAAAGGCATTTAGGTGGGTATTTTAGTATTCCACCACAGCGAACAGATAATGGTGATCGTCTGCTGCAACTGTGCTCAGACAATCGTTTATTTTTAGCAAACACAAATTTTAAGCATAAGGAGAGACATCGTCTAACATGGCGACCCCCTACACCAAACCAACGATGGACTCAAATAGACCATATTGCCATCAGTCATCGTTGGAGAGGGTCGGTAGAAGATTGTCGCTCATTCTGGAGTACCTGCTTGGACTCCGACCATGCCCTAATACGGGCACGCATCTGCTTGCGCCTCACTGGACGCAAAAAAGCCACATTAAAAAGACCCATTAGAACTGAATTGAGTAACGAGAAAACCAAAAGTAGGTTCCAGGAACAACTGAGGTCACACTTAGGTAGTTCTGAAACGAGGCTGACCCAGATGTTGCTTGGAAAGATATACAAACAGCTGTGGAAACAGCAGTGACATCTATCAGTGATTAAACCACAGGGTTACAAAACCAATGGATTTCCTCAAGGTCTATTGCACTGATGGATTCTCGTAAACTCATCCCATCAGGCTCTGAACACGATGAAGAGCGACAACAAATCAGATCTAGGTTAAGAAAAAGTCTAAGGAACGACCGTGAGCAGTGGTGGGCAACGAAAGCAAAAGAGATGGAAAAGGCGGCGACTATAGGGAACACAAGACAGCTTTACAGACTAATAAAAGAAACTGGAATTAATAAGTCAAGTGTAAGTGAGATTTTTCGGAAAAAGACGACACCTCATCTGCTCCCAGTCCAGACGTTTAGAACGATGGGCGGAACATTTCAGAGAACAGTTCAGCTGGCCTTCAGCTACTCTACAACTACCCTCCATTCCCAGACAGTGTGAATGGAACATTGAAGTAGGTCCCCCAACTCTAGCAGAAGTTCAAAAGGCTATAGTTAATCTGAAACGAGGAAGGGCAGCTGGTCCAGATGGATTGGCTCCAGAGGTCTTTAAGGATGGTGGTCCAATTTTAGCGATTAGGTTGACTAATATTTTAGCTAAGATCTGGGAGTTAGACGTTATTCCATCTGACTGGTCACAATCACTTATCGTCCCAATATATAAGAGAGGGTCAAAATCATCCTGTGACAACCATAGAGGGATTAGTTTAACTAATATAGTATCTAAAATACTAGCCTCGATAATTATCAGACGCCTAACTAAGACTCGTGAACTGCAAACACGAGAGAATCAAGCTGGCTTCAGACCTGGTCGTGGCTGCATCGACCACATATTCACCATTCGTCAGGTTCTAGAACACAGGCATACTTATCGGCGTCCGACAATGGTGGTCTTTCTTGACTTAAAAGCAGCATTTGACTCCGTAGACCGAGAGATTCTGTGGCAGTGTCTGTCATTGAAAGGCGTACCTCAGAAGTACATAAACCTTGTGAAGGCTCTTTACTCGAACACTACTAGTCGAGTCAGAGCTTATGGCGAACTGTCATCTGCTTTTGCAACCTCAAGTGGTGTCCGTCAAGGCTGTCCACTTTCCCATTTTTGTTTAACTTCATCATAGATCTACTGATGGAAATAACTTTCTCGTCGACTGAATTCTCGGGTATTGATCTCCTTCCAGGAGGTCCACTTATCGACTTAGAATACGCAGATGACATAGTCCTGTTTGGTGAAGACGCTGATAAAATGCAGTATCTGTTGGTAGCACTGAGCAACAATGCCAGAATGTTTGGGATGCGCTTCTCCCCCTCTAAATGCAAGTTGTTGCTTCAGGACTGGTCTGCGTCAACACCTGAACTAAGGATAGGGAGTGAAGTAGTCGAACGCGTTGACAACTTCACTTATCTTGGAAGTCTGATCAGCCCTAATGGGTTGGTGTCTGACAAAGTCTCTACACGGATTCGAAAAGCTCGATTGACGTTTAGCAACTTACGTCACCTATGGCGAAGGCGAAATATCCGTCTATCAATTAAGGGATGAGTGTACTGCTCGGTAGTTCGTTCTGTTCTACTTTACGGCTGCGAAACATCGCCATTAAGAGTAGAAGATACTCGCAAGTTACTGGTATTTGACCACAGATGTCTTAGAAATATTGCTCGCATCTGCTGGGATCACCGGGTATGTAATAGTGAGGTTAGACGCAGGGTATTAGGGCATGGTGGTAAATCAGTTGATGAGGTTGTGAATCTTCATCGACTGAGATGGTTGGACACGTGTTACGTGTGCCCGAACACCGATTACCACGACTCCTAGTCTCAGCCATGTTGGTAGATGCAGACTACTTTGTTGGGGTCCGCGTGTCTATCGTAACCAATGGTTGGAGACTTTGGGTGACATGGCTCAGAGTCGACCACAATGGCGTCGGTGTATACACTCTTTTTCTTCCCTTAAACTAAGAGATTGAAATCGCTTCATATCTTTATACGAACTAATTCCTTCTTCATGTACTATATCCTTATTGCAATCTTTCTTCTATATATTACCACCTCTGAATTAACTACTTTTATGAATCCGGTGTCCATCTTGTTGTGTTAATGAGGTATGGCAACTTGAACCGATGCATATATGTGCCTGGTCCTACGTTGTAGCTGACTGACTGTATAGTTGCTGCCTATTTTTCTAGAAATATTGAAGTCATAGTATTTCATCTTAATAACTTGTGGTGTGTACAATAGTGGCTTATCTCTTTTAACATTCTTTATGAACTAATGATCTGTGTTTGAACTCATCCTCACCTATTTTCATTTAGTTTTCCAGGTAATACCTCTAGTTTAAATTTGTATACTAGTTTATTTACTTAGTTACTAAGCTGTATTAATTCGTGAAATCATGTTTGAGTGATCAGAATTATATTTTTTTTTATACATGCCCTTTAAAAGAACTTGACGTCATAAACCAGATCTATGTGTCCAAAAAGAAACAGTAATAAGTCTTTCTTTGCCCCGGTAACATTACATTTTTTTATTGCATTATTCATTATTTCAACTCTTTCAAGCTTTGATTACATCACTGCCATTTTTCTTTAGTTCGTAATTTTGATTTGAACTGACTGATTTTAATCTTTATTACCATTAATATGTTTACAGTTACCTCACTACACAATCATCTATTGTTTGTTAACGCTATGAATACTAATCACTACTTTGGTGTTCTGTTACCTCCCTCTTCACTTTATTTAAGCTTTTTTTATGACCTTATCAACTCTATTGAAATTTTCGCTTCACTATAATACACATATTCATCTCTAATCACCTTTGTATTTATAAGTATGTCAATATATATAATAATATAGGTTGTATGCAGCTGATGAGAACCTAACAAAATGAAGTGAATTCTTATCATTCTGCACCAATCATTGTTTTTGGTCTTTTTAATGTTGTTTAAGCCTTATGTTTTTTGGGTAACATGTTTCAGCATGATTAACTGTGACACTGCATTCACTCCTATCTTCCTCTTCATTTTGAATTCCAGTATTTTTCCATACTTACGTTTCCATTCTGTCTTTCCAAAGGATATTCCCAATGTCCAATCTTTCTAATTACCATTTCTACTACATCATTTTGATTCCTCTTAGTATTCATCTAGCCATAATAATATGGTATGCCTGATTCTACGTTGATTATAATTGACTGATTGATTTAACCCTGTATATTAGAAATCACTATAGTTATTGCAAAGTTCCTGTTAGCCGAATACAACTTCCTACTATATATTTGCAATTTTTGATTCCTTTCAGTTGAGAATGTGTATAAGGTCATTTTACCAGAGTTGCTAGTTTATATCTCAATTATATCGAATCAGAAAATTAATAGATCAAGTTCACAAATTCTGAATCGGTGGTTAGACTTTAGACTGATTGGTTCGTACATGTGTACATTAGGTGTTTTTCCGAATGGATACTTGAATACAGGATAATTCATATTTCATTTTAAGCATATCAATTGAGCAGCATCTAATGGATTTTTTTAGTTTTACAGATTCCTTTTAAGCCCGTGGAAATGTTTTGATCATTGAAATATTTTCCTTCGTAAATTTATTCTAGTCACGCAGAAGAACGTTCTCAGTCTGTGATAGACATCAATTTTGAACCGAATGGAAATTCACCAAACTATCCTAGTAATTGTAATGCAGTTGAATCAATACAAATAATTGGTCCATCCAGGGTAAGTTATAAGATGTACATTATAGCAACCCACGTGCAATTGAGTCTGTTCTCATTTAACTCAGTCAAGCTCTTTTGTTAACTTATTTAGCGGACAAAGTCATCCGTACTATAACAACTTATTGTACCTTTTATTATTTGTTGTGCTTGTATAAAATATGTATGCTTGAATATTGCTTACCGCCTACGCATATATTCACTCTGCTAGCTTTATTATTAGCTGCTCAATTGATTCGGTGATCCATTCATTTCCCTATATATACACATGTACATTTACACTCTTACACCCTCGGTTCGCTGACTCATTCATTTGCCTCCCTGCTTTGCGGTCTGAGTTATCTGCTAATAAAACTGTAGTCGTTACTTCTCTTTGCCTTCTGATTTCAAACACCGTTGAGCATTACATGATAACGGTTACGACGGTGATTGGTCAACGAAGCACAGCCACTACAACCTGAAAAAATCATGGGAATTCGACCAAATGTATATAGATTTTGCTTTTTTAATGACTTTTATTTTCAATGTCGATTTTCAATAATTGAATGGATTGAATGATAACTTGAATAACAATGTTCTTGTATGTATATCTAATGAATCAATTAAACTGTCACGTTCAGTAGTAATAAATATTTAGAAAGGTTGGATTACCACCAGCTGCGCCATGGCAATTAATAATCATATAGGGTTCATTAAAGAAGGTCCTAAACCTTATTTCCCCTATATTTTAATTGAGGAAACAATAAATGATCTCCACTATGTTTTACTCTGAAATATATCTTAAACTAATAGAAAGAAATTAGTAAAGATATTATACGTGAAAATTATATTCTAAATAATTTCACTGATTGAAATTTAAATAATCTCAACGTTTCATCGAGCAAACTTGTCTGAACTTCTTCAGGGTGATATCAGCCTATTTTTATCAAACTGTTCGTTCTAATATCGACGACTATTCGTATAAGAAATTAGTAACTTTGAAAACAATTTCTTATCAATTTTCGACATAGAAGTTATTTCGTTAGGTCCTCCCAAAATCATGTCTATTTTGACTGATGTTTTGTTTTACCATGTCTATGTGTGTGCGAATGATAAATCTGTGGTTCAACGAAACCTCATGAAACCAGATATCAACCTGTCATCAGTTTTTATAGAATTTTTTAATGTTTTGTTTCATATTCAGGGTCTGACACTAAAGCAAGGCGAACTTGTATGTTCATGATGAGTAACAAACATCTGGGACTTATTTTTCAGAAAACGTGTGAAAAGTGTTTCCCTTAATTTTTCAGGATTCATATAATTTTTCCCGGTCCCTCAAATTACCAGGGCTTCCAGAAGATATGTCAGTTACTTCAGGTAAATTATTCTTTTATTCTTGTACTCCTTTACATTTTTGGTCATCAGGTCGGGCTTATAGTTCACATTCTATAAATCAAATAAACTTCACAGTGTAGGATTTGACGATACAGTTCAGTTTTTTGTAAGCAGGTTTTTTCAAAACCTTAGTGAAAATAAATCAAGATGGCACTAATCAGTTGGTGTGTTTTATTCGTTATATAATAATCTCAGTTGATAGACCATTGAAAACTAAGGAGCACTTCATAACCATCTCATCCTAGTATAATACACCTGGACAGTGTACACCCACAGTCCCCCCAAAGATGGAACCTAGGACCGTCAGGTCTTGCAGCAAATGCTTAACAAGTTAAACCAATCCCTTTAAAATCCAACCAAGGAATCGATTAAATTAGCAATGGATAATGTAATTTGTATGACAAACTGTTATGTCCGGACGAAGAATAACAGAATGGTAACTGCTAGGAATTGCTTATGAACTGTTATATATATTCTTATTGGATAGTTGTTAAGTCAATAGATCATATATGTGTTCATGCTTCTTTTGTCACAAGCCTTCATTTGACTCATTGGCTACTATTATACGATTTAGTGTTTGTGATTTATTACCAACCTATTAGTCAAAGTGTTCTATACTCACAATCATTTTTAGCTTGATTTTATATAATTGATATTTTTCATTTTATGGCATGATTTGGTCTGGTCTGCTTGTGTATATAAACTACGTATGTCTGTAATATACAATTCATACGGCGGGGAAGGTGGATATTGGACTCAATGGGCATGTCTAGGCGATAAGTTACTAATATCGAGGACCAATAAAGATTCCGAGTTGACTCAAGACTGCTAGTGCTTGTTGACGTGCCATTGGTTTAGCACAGGGACAAATTCATAGAAGTCGATATTCTGAATAATTAACAGAGTCATAAGTCATAAAACAAACATCGTCTACTCTGTAGCGCCCAACTTTGAGAATTGATAAAGAAATCAATGACTAGAGAGACCTGGAATTAAGATTTATTACCAATGTTCCGAACGCATGCACTTTTTATTTACTTATGAAGAAATTAGATTTTACTGTTATGGTTGTGCCATATGTTTTCGATGATATGTGTGCACCGAGGTTTCTAACATTATCCTCCACTCTATGTGTTATTTTGTTGAATTTTTCCGTTGAATTCACTCGTATGGTTATGTTTCTTATTTTAAACTAATAGCGCTGATCTTGAGTAATATATATATCATTGGATGATCCATCTTATCTACACTAAATTTTGGTTACTGTTTCAAATATATTAATTTCTGATCTTAATATAGTCATTTATCCCCTGAATGTCACTGTTTATTTTCTTTTATTCATAACTTAATCTTTTCTCCTTTCCTTCTCTCTCTCTATACTATCTGTTTCAGTCACAAGTAATCCACATATGGAATCATTACAACAGCCTGAACTATCCACCATCGTTGGTTCGATCAAACTGAATGGAAGTTGCGAAAAGGTATCTCCGTTTAATTCGGTATGTTTTTTCCTTATTTTATGACTAGTATAATGCGGAAAAATGTGTGTAGGATGTATAAACTAATAGTATGTTTAACCGTGTATAATCTTAATTGTTACATACGTTTTGTGATTCGCTAGTTTTCTTGATGTAGGTGCAAGTTGGAAGAAAGCTAGGGGGTAGCCAAACCAAAATGTGGCATCAGTCTATGAAATCATTGACTAGTGAATTGAGATATGTTAGTAGGCGGCAGCTACCAGGTTACAGTGGCTTTACTCAGAATCAGTTGCAATGTCTCTGAGGCACTACTTTATATTCCCTCAGATAAAAAGTTTTAGAATTGTTTTATATTTCTTATTCTATGAACTTATCCTCCCTGAACCACTTCGTCCTTACCTACTGTTTTTTACTACCACTGATTCTGTTACTACTTGTAGTTTTTGGTACTTGCCTTGATGATCTCATCTCGTCATGTTAATATGATGTGGCAACTTGAACGGATACGTATGTATGCCAAGTTCTACGTTACGTATGGCTGACTGATTGACTGTATTGCAATTTAGAAAAATATTATTTAACTTGGCAAATTGGAAATGTGTCAACTTAACACTTTACCTCATTCAAGCACCTTAATTAAACACTTAATCAGCTATTTAAAATTATGTATTTTCAAAATTCATGATCGTATAGTTTTATACAGCTTGAAAGTTTGACAAGCGTTGGTGTCCTCGTAGTTTTTCAATGGATTTTTATTGTTTTTTTACGTACCCATTTTTTCAAGATACGTAGTTTTTCGTATATTATATGCTGTAATAGTAAGTTTCACTTCTCTTTCTTGCATGATCGACAGTTACCTTCCACATACATATTCGTATTAGATGTATCACAAACTATATCTTAGAAGTTTTTAGATTACAAAAAAATCTAGGAAATCTGTATCATCATATTTGTACGGGTTTGTATTTTGTTTATGTCGCGGGCTGAAATCCCTTAGTCTTTTCGGGTTATGTTCATGTTGAGTGGATTGCCTCGATATTGACATTTAGTCTCAACGCCTCAGTAAAGTTGAGTAGTGGTCAACAGTGAAATTCATGATACATCTTTCGTTATACTCGAGACTCGTCAGCTCGGTGTATCTGTATTTCAGTATCGATTTTCACACTGAGATTTGAACACATTGCCTTTCGTTTCAATAAGCAATTAATTATCCACAGAACTACTGTGTCCATACAGTCACTAATCAGTCTTACCAAAAATTATCATCGCTTCATTACTCTTCATTGAAACCGATCTCTGTGAATATATTAAGTGATTTAGTCTAAGTACTGTTACTCAATAATCATTCAAGAAACTTGCCGTCATAGGCTCGATCTTTATTAAGGCCATCACTATACATTAATGTTGCTGTCCAATACTCTCTGGTCTTCGGTTCGTTTTATGGAGTACAAAAATTTCATTTGACCAAATATTTAGGCGACATCCTTAGAAGTTGTGTGACCGCAGCTTTGCGAGCACTGTTTTCTGCGTTTCTGCGATACATATAAGTAGATAGATCGATTGTAGTTACTTTATTCATTTGATGTTTTTTCCACTTAAACGTCTGGTAGCGACTCAATGCTTTTGTCTTTTAATCACCCCAATTTATTATTCAGGATAAGAAATTGATTTCTGTCGGTGTGCAAACTAAGCTGGTCAATGAAAGTGAACAATTTATTATTGTTAATGGTAAAAAGTATCAAGTAATTAATGAATTGGGACGGGGAGGTTCATCAGTGGTAAGTAGTTGATCCAACATTTACCTATCTTATTTATGTGTACTTTTCTTTCAAATAGCTTAACCACGGAGTTCATGATCGATAACTATTCTGTCATGGTCTGTTGATAGATCTAACACATCATCTAGATCAAAGCTTACGTAGAAATCAGGTGAGAAGACTTATATTCTGTTTAAGAGACATTGAAGTCCAACTTGTCAAAGATCACGCCACGTTCATCTATTCATGATTATAGTGTGTTTGCATGAACGGAGACATAAAATATACATTTCTTTTATACTGATGGTATTGTAGGAAGCAATTTCCTACAGGTTTAATTCTGAGCTATTCCCTAGACCATCGAATACAGAGTCTTGGTTTGGCCAAAGCCAGAACAAGCAAGCTATTCGGCTAGATAAACTTTATCCGTTTCTAAAATATAAATTAATATCGTTAGTGTACAAACAAACAGTACGGTCTATTAATACAAGGAAAAACAGAGACAAATAACATACCGAACAGTAGCCAGAGAATAGGGAAAATGAGTCACAAAGCAAATATTGTTTTACAATGAACATCAAACTGCGATTGGTTAATAAAGAGATACAGTCGCACGAGGTCAAAGGGAATTAATGTGGTGGTGGGCGTTTCGTCTATCGATCACATTTTTCAGGTATCCTACTTTTTATTTCCTCTTTATCATCAACGAGAGTAGTCAAGATAAAACATGTCAGGAGTTAGTAAGAATCTATATTTTTTAGCATCAACTAACTATACACTGAAGTTAATCAAAGAGGGCGCACCTATAAGTTTTATTTTACATTGAAATATTACTCCGCTTCTGTTACTAAATATTATATATTATTAGTGCTTAATCAATATAATATTGTGGTGTACACTACTTATGTTGGCAGATATAAGTAGTATACAGCACCAGTCGGAAGTGGGATGTCTACAAGCAGATGATTGAAATGGAAAAAATACGGAATAAAACTCAAAGCAATCAAAACAACAGCAGGAATGGAGGTACTATAAAGTTTGTAAGAGACAACTGATGGAGGATTTGCAAATGATGTATATAATGTATTGTTTTTATATTTCACGAAGATACTGTAATCTTGTATTTAACAATAAATTGGTTATCTCCGACCAAGTCTTCGTTTGCTACAATATGTGCAAGGATATGAGAAACACAGAATTCGTCAGTATTATAAATTTTCCAAAAAATAAATATCATCTCTGCTTCATTCACTCCTAGGTGTATTGGGCTATGGACTCCGATTTAAATCCATGGGCGGTGAAAAAAGTTGATTTGAAAAATCTTACACAAGAAACAGTTACGTCGTATATAAATGAGATTGAGATGCTTAAAAGTTTGATAAATTCCGACAGAATTATCCGACTATATGATTAGTAAGTCATAAATCACTTTTTTATGTCTTAAAAGTAAAACGAAATATTTTAATCAAAAATTCCAATCCATTAAATTCTTATTTGTAAGATGCATCTTATGTGAAGTAATATAGATCCCTGCTTCTCTATCTCATGGCGTTCTTTTCATTGGGCCTGTGGATTACTTATTGGTTAATGTGTTCGACTTTTAGCTATTAAGTCTTAGGCTCCTACAATTAATTTTGTTCACGGTTAACTTTGTCAAGACCTTTAATTATCTTATTTAACAGACAGTGTTATTCGAACAGTCTATATTTGTACTATTATGATCACCATCATGTCTGTATAAACGTGTGTGCTTGATCACATGCGACAGACTACGCACATATATCTCTCTAGCTTAAATATCGCTCGATGAATTATTCTCTTCCCCATGTGTGTGTGCTTGGTTCGTTTCGCGTCGATTCGATTTGACTCTGAATCCATTGTCTGTAATATTTAATAATAAACTTTAGCCGCCACTACGTATTGCCTTCTGAATTCATACAGCGTTTGGATTTATTTAATGACGGTGATAGATAAACGAAACCCTACAAAATTTGCACTCCCGTTTGGGCAGCTGGAATATATCACTAGCCCTCACAATTGGAGTACACCTTAAACCCAAGTACCTGGTGATCGAATTTATTTTAGTTTATCACTCATTGACTTGGGAAATTCAAATATTTAATCCATCTTAAGCTTTAGGACCTAAGTGGTGGTCCCTTACTTACTTACTTACTTTACTTTACTTTACTTACTTTGCTGTACTTTACTTACTTATGCCTGTTACTCCCAATGGAGCATAGGCCGCCGACCAGCATTCTCCAATGCACTCTGTCCTGGGCCTTCTTTCCTAGTTCCATCCAATTCTTGTTCATTTTTCTCATGTCTATCTCCATTTCCCAGCGTAATGTGTTCTTTGGTCTTCCTCTATTCCTTTGGCCTTCAGGATTCCATGTGAGGGCTTGTCTTGTGACGCAGTTGGGTGCTTTCCTCAATGTGTGTCCTATCCAATTCCAGCGCTTCTTCCTGATTTCTTCCTCCGCTGGGATCTGGTTTGTTCTCTCCCACAGTACGTTGTTGCTAATAGTGTCCGGCCAATGGATCTGAAGTATTTTGCGTAGACAATTGTTGATAAACACCTGTATTTTCTGGATGATGGCTTTCGTAGTTCTCCAGGTTTCTGCCCCATATAGTAGAACTGTCTTGACATTTGTATTGAAAATCCTGACCTTGGTGTTGGTTGACAGTTGCTTCGAGTTCCAGATGTTCCTCAGTTGTAAATATTGGTGGTCCCTTACTTACACCTTACTATTAATTTTCGAATATTAATCGTAAGAGCTATTTGTTCCCTTTTAAAATTAATCTGCCCGTTTTGTACTGTATTTAAGGAATCCAGTCTTTGTTAGATTTTGTTTTCTAACTCCCCTTCACTATATACTATTGGATAAGAGCGAATCTGCTCAAAGCTATGCGAACTTTCAAGTTAGATTCTCTGTATTTTCTCATCTTTTTAACATAAGCTAATCGTACATTTATTGTCTTGATATTTAACATTTTTACAATTTCTTTTTCAAAAATGTTTAGTCACTGTACATCAGAAAATCTCATACTTGTTATGGAGAAAGGAGATTGCGATTTGAAAAGTGTAATTCTTAGCTTTTGGTCTGATGGTGCAAAAAAATCGCCTCGTTCACCATCAGGTATGCTTTCATCTGGGATTGTATTCTACTGGGATCAAATGTTGCGGTGTGTGAAAGCACTTCATGATCGTCGTAAGTTTATTTTTGTTGTTAATATCTTGTTGCAATGTAGTTTTTCGGCAGAACGTGTAATGAGGAAAAAGTATACCGGATTAAAATTATCGTGGATATGCACAACAATATCTAACTAGATCTAGACAAAATATCAAGGAGTCTAATCCGAACAAATTTATAGTTGATTGACTTTAGTTCACCAATGTCTAAAGATATAACAAATGTAAACGAATTTAAAGGTATCTGAAAATAAAATAAAAAACAACCATTTGTTATATGTTTATTAAAAATACAAGCTAATTCACTAATTAGTAGCTAACCAAGTTTAAAACTTTTCTCTTACTCTCCGTTTACAACCAATAATTTCATAGATTCGCTTCTGGGAATCTGTAATTTTCCATACGTGTAAATACCTAAATGTACAATTTTATTTTAAAAGTACTATTTAACTAACTTCGAAAATTCGTAGTTTTATATCGTGATATCCTTTGATTATCATTCACTGTTACACAAATTCAATGGTAATAAGTTCTTTGGCATGACCAATTCATTGCTTAGTTTCATTTTTATTTATTTTATGAAACTTTGGATAATTTTATGTAAATCCAAAATAATGATTACTTCTGTTAAGTGTTTTTTATCTTGATTGTTTTTTTCGCTACTCATTCTAGGTATTGTTCACTTAGATTTAAAACCACAAAATTTTGTTCTAGTCTATGGACAGTTGAAGCTTATTGATCTAGGGATTAGTCGTCTGTTACCAGATGATTCAACAACTGTAAACCATTGGCTAAAGTTGGGAACATTGTCTTTCATGAGTCCAGAACAGTTGGAAGAAGCTGCTGCTATTCCTTCATCCTCATCTAGCCTGAATCAGTCGTTTTTCTTGGGTCCTGAAGTTGACCAAGAAAATCGTTTTAAGGTTGTTTTTTGTTGTTTCCAAATAATGCATTTATTTCATGGAGATATTTCTATCATCATAGTTTACTTTTCTGATATAGATTGCATTCTGCATTCGTATGATCTTTTTCACAATTCTAATTTTATAATGAAACCTTTCAAGTTAATATAGAATATTGGAAATTTTACTGCTGAGCTGTTGATCAGCGAAGAATACAAAAATACGTGGCTCTTAGCCACATTATTGTGCTACTCGGTTAGTTATAAGCAACATAGAATCTGATGCATATGCGCATTGCTCCATATTAACATCTCATCAACACAGTAAAGTTAAATGATCAAAATAAGTACCAGTGTAGTAGTTTTTAAAGGGTTATTACAAAAAGAATAAACGGATGATTTGATTTGCGAAGAAAGAATAAATTTATGGAATAAAACACTTGAGATAAATTTTGATCACATGATTTGAAGATATACCAAAAGTTAATAGATCTGAGCCACTTTAAATGATCACCCACAACTGTGTGAGCTAGTGATACTACCCGTTTGTCCAGACCCAAGTAGATGAGGTAGGGTTAGTTATAGAACCTAGCGACCTACTACTTATTGAACGCTAAGTGTTTTAAGTACCAGGCTGTCACCATTCAACTCATTTTTTAGTCGTATCAAAGTATTATATTATCACCATAAAAACAAATTTTTCGTTGGTTATAACATTATGGAACTGAATTATAAACCAAAAGATCCCAGTATTTCTGAAACACAGGACATATTATATTTCATATTGTATTAGTGTAAACAAATGGTAGCAGTAAATTACACACCACAATCGAAATATTTTCAATAATTACCCTGCCCTTATGTCCATCTAAGCTCATAAAACTCTATCCACAGGACAGCGTACTTACTTACTTACTTACTCCTGTTACTCCTTATGGAAAAGCGTAAGCTGCTCATCAGGATTCTCCATCCAGTTCTGTCCTGGGTAGTCCTTTCCAGTTGCTATTGATCCTTTTCATGTCTGCTTCCTGTTCCAGACGTAGTGTGTTCTTTAGTCTTTTTCGTTTCCCTTCAGGATTCCTAGTTAACGCATATATTGTTGTGCAGTTTGATGATTTCCTCAATATGTGTCCTATCCACTTCCAACGTCTTTACCTAATATCCTCTTCAGCCGGAAGTTGATTTTTTCTCTCTCACAGTAGGTTTTGCTGATGGTATCCGACCAACGAACATTGAGTATCTTGCGTAGACAACTGTTTATAAATACTTGTACCTTTTTGATAATGGTTGTGGTAGTTCTCCACGTTTCAGTTCCGTTCAGTAGAACTATCTTGACGTTTGTATTGAAGATCCTAACTTTGATGTTGGCTGACAATTGTTTTGAGTTCCATATGTTTTTCAATTGACGGAATGCGGATTTCAAACACTGTTGGGATTCGTATAATAACGGTTATCAAGGTGATTGATTAACAAAGCCAAGCCACTACATTGTGTCCGTAAATTTAAAGCACACCCGTTCAGTGTTCGATACGTGTGCTATTTCAAGTATTTTCCGTTCATTTAGCGTGTGATTGGTGAATGTAAGAGCATAATTTCCACACACGATCTCATTTCAAGTTTTACCTTTCACTTTATTTGCTATTTTTCATCCGGTAAGTCGGAATACGTTACAGTAGCGCGTTCACAAAAGATATACGTAGATAGCTTGTATGTTTGAAATGAAATCCCTAGTAAAGAGCATGGCTATATACATACACTAAGCGTACGAAAAATGATTGGAAATCCTAGATATTGCATAACTGATCGTACTCACTCCACTTCGCATACGCTAGCGATTACTTCAGATGATTTCTTGAGTTTTTGATATGATGAGAAGGAAGTCAACTCATCGAAGTGGAATTGATGTTTGAAGTTGATAATTTCTAGTCATCTGTGATATGTAATTGCAGCTTAAAAAGAAATAATTATGTAACTCAATAAATCTTAAATATATTTGTTGGTTATAGACGTTCATTTGTGTAGTTTTCATTACCAATGTTCGACGTGATTATTTCAAGAAAAATTGAACATGAAATAGATTATAAATAATAAAAAATAGTTGGATTTTACAAATAAATTATAGTTGATTCACGAGTCGATCTAAGCTAGATTACCACTGAAAACCTAGAAGCACTGGATAGCCTAGTATAATACTCCTCAGTAGTGCACACCCACGATCCTGTACACAGGTCTCGAATCCAGGACTTTCGGACACGCGCGCGAACGCCTGAACTCTAGACTACCGATCCGGCACCCAACGGATATCTAACTTCAATCGATCCATGATTTTGTGCAACCCTTCATCCGTTGTCTGAGATGAATAACTATCCCACACCGTTCACTGATTAAACTCCACTATCAATGGCTTCTCACTAGAACTTCGAGTCACAAATCTTTGTGAATAGTTTCATATTATAAATAGAAGTGATTTCTCGTGTTTTTAAATATTCAGTAAAAGTTTGTTTTTTTTGTTACTACGAAAGGTTGGTCGTAAATCGGATATTTGGTCATTAGGTGTAATCCTTTATATGATGGTCTACGGTCAGTTACCTTTTAATCAAGATAAACTTCACTCTCGTCTATCAGCCATTATAAGTCCCAGTGTAAAAATATCTTTGCCAGCTATCAAGAATAAATCTATTTATAAGGTAAGCGAATGTGACAGTTGTTGTATTTCGTTGTTATCTGGTTGAAAAAAAACAGTATAATTAACAGGTGTCTTTGGTCTATTCTGTGTATAAGATTCTTTCGAATATAAATAAAACCCTGTTTAAATAATCACTATCTAAAGTCGTTAGATAATAATTCTTTTAGTAATGGTTTGATTACTACTACGACTGGAAAAAAGACGTCTATGTTTCCGAACTGTCTATTTTTATCTCATCATTGATTGTAATGTAACATTCGAAACAGTTATAAACAAATATTGACTCTAACCTCAAGAAATATATATTGGTACAAGGAGGCACCAAACAGATATGCGCCACTAATGATTCGGTTTGCGTGAGGGGTGTGATACTGCCTGGGTGCACAAACCAAAGCAGGTGGTTTTCTTAGGGGGTCGAGCCCGGAGCCTTCAACCTATAGGTCTAATCCAAAAAGCAGTGGAACAACAACAGGAGATGCAGTCCCATGGTAGCCGGTGACCAACAATTGGTTCATACTTCATTTGTTCCTTCAGGACCCTGCAGCCCATGTACACCATTGGTTTGGATTCAGGGTTTACCAACTCCCCTAAGTGGACTCTCCATATCCACCAACCCGGTTAAAGCGCCGGACATTCACTTTTCGTCCTCACTTTCGTAAAGAACACCCGCCACGAGGAGGCAGTGAGTAGGACTTCCCTGGCAGTGGTTGTATCCACGTGGCCATGTGAGAGCATTTGGAGAGAGAGCTGACTCTCCCTGCTCTCGGCCACATATATATATAGATATATATATTCAGCTTATGTATTAATTGTTCGATTTCTCAGTCTACGTTCAGTATGAACATAGAAAAAGGAGGACGATTCAACATGACTATGAATTTCAATAACTAAAAATGATCGGAGTTAAATTTGAATTCATCAGTCAACTGTGAGGGAAGGAAATTGTAAAATCAGATAATAATCACTGATTAGTATTGTTTTTAGATTAGATTGTGTACTGCATGTGACAGCAGTGTTGACGGTTAGATTTGATTAGAGATTTATACTACAGATAATAAAACTGGTGTAACTATTGTATAAACTCCTTATCAAAATCAATCTTGTTTATGTAACATCCTAGCACTTTGTTTATCAGGCAACACATATATATTGCGAATTTCCAAATTCATCGTTTCTAACACTTAGTTTAACCATACAATGAATGTTCACTTTGATATATGCCGTCGTATGTATCGATTGTCATAAACACCGCCCTATTGAATCTAACCAACGATTAAGTGTATAAATGGCAACTTGATTAATGGTACTTACATAGTTTTATTGATGAACAATTAATCAGTGGCGATGTTATTAAGTTTCAATATTCTGTGAATATCAGGTATTAGGGAATGATGGTAAATCAGTTGATGGGGTTGTGAATCTTCATCGACTGAGATGGTTGGGTCACGTGTTACGTGTGCCTGAACACCGATTACCACGACGTGCAATGCTAACCAGTGTTGGGGATGATTGGAAGAAAGTTAGGGGCGACCAAACCAAAACGTGGCATCAGTGCTTGAAGTCACTAACTTCTAGTCTTAGCCATATTGGTAGATACAGACTACTTTGTTGGGGTCCGCGTGACTATCGTAACCAATGGTTGGAGGACCATTGAAAAGCACGGGGAGCATTGGGTGAGCGTATCGTTCTAGTTCTAAATAATGCGCATTCACACGTTATCGAACTAATAGCTTGCAAGCACCTTATACCTTTTATTTCACGGTTTTCTATTTCATTGGCTATTCCGCTGACCGTGATTCATGGTGAATATTGCATTTAAACAGGTACTGCTCTTTTTTATTGTTATTACATCCATAATATTCTTTTACCGTTTATTTTCTAATTCGTTGTAGGCATTAGAACGGAGTTTAGTTCGAAATCATTTAGAAAGAGCATCTGTTGATGAATTACTGAGTTATGAATATGTGTCTAGTACGTCAGCTGCTGACTTATGGTAGTGTTATATTTTACTTTTAATTTGTCAATTCTATTTTATATATATATATATATATATATATATATATATATATATATATATATATACAGAAAATATTTGACAAGAGCACCCCAGTTTGTATTCATGATTAGGTTGTGATACCAAAAAAGTCCTATGAAGATAGTGAATAATAGCTTGATATTATTTCACATTTATATAATTTTGTTGTAACGTTAACTTATCAGTGTCATATATATTCCTTGTTTTTTTTCTTTCAAAATTTTTCTAGATGTCTAAAAAAACAGTCCGTTATTCTTCAATACCGGGACATATTTTTTTGTATATAAATGTACATATTTCTTACTTGTATTATTTTTTTACATTTATAGTTTTGCAACCTATTTATATCATTTAGTAATTTATTTTCCCTTCCTTTGTTTATTCTTTTTGTTTGTCACAATTACTTCCCTGTGTTTACATTGTCGTTTATTTTCTCCATCCAGTTATGTATTTCAGAGAATCTGAAGACTCAATCACAATCAATATATTGTAGTGTATAAGTTTATAGTAATACTTATCATCATACGATTGATTGAATATTTATATCGTGAATTGTTTTCTTTTTTATGACGAATAATAAATTATGTTTCACAAACATTTATAACATTTTGCTAGTATGACTTTGTTATACATTGAGTTAGTGATTGTTTAGAAGTTTCAGGTTCCCAATCCAATCACCTAATTAGGTCACACTACCTACTCGATAGACTTGAATCCCTGTATTTTGGTTTCGTTCACAGTGTAAAATAATCATGCATAGGATGATTAGATGTGAAACGACGAAGAAGCTAGGTCTGACTTGTATGGACTTTTGAGAATGCCCTGAGTAATGATTTAAGTGTATTATCATAAATGAGGCGTAAACTTTGAAGTAAATAAGGTTGGTTTACCCCAATGTACTAAAAAATACTTCTCTGATCTCCCTCGAGGTATGTATTAGACGGACTAATTGTTTTAGTGGTACGGGAAGATATGTGTAGTTTGGAATTGGTGTTCTATATCATATAATGTCTGTAGTTGCCATCGATTGTCGTGAAAACTATCTTCGAAAATAGCTGACTAAACTGAAGTAGATGAAGCTAATTTAGGGATTGTGACTCACTGGTTAGAAAATGGAAGTTTCAACTTATAAGTTATCCCAATATATAGCTACATAAACCTTGGTATTCACCCTCCGTGTGCTTACATTTGCCTACTTGAAAATGTTGACTAGAAATGTATCGTTATGTCAAAGATTCCTACGATGATTGGAACACGGTGTTGTTGGATCAACATGAAACTAGGGGAGTAGAGTTGTCATGTGGTCCTATAGTTAGTTACTGCAGCGAAGTAAAAAAAATTGAAACAATTACGCTGCTATAGATTAGATGATCAGCAGTGCGAAGGAGTGATGGGTGACCATTTGATACTTTCGTGTATGTGCTGCAATATTTTATACTGTTGAGATATTTGGAGACGTCTTTGAATAGAATCACATACTTCGAACACAAGCTTATCTAAAAAAAGAAAGCGTTATATAACCTCCTTCTGTGGATGGCTAATAGCTTTTAGAAAGACGGATTATAGCGGAGAGCAAGTCTGCGAACTAGTTACGTTCATTTACTACTAGTATCAAGTTTTGGCTTGACATATCGAGTTTGATGAAAATCGGGTACGATTGCGATGGCGTTGATATGAATTTTGCTTAAGCCAGTTGTTAAATGCCTACAAATCGTCTTCATCTAAACGTTTATAGATCAAATTACCATTTAATGCGGTGGCGTTTAGTTTCTGGAAATCAGCTTATGTGTGTTTGATTATGCCTAGTAATAATGATAGTATTTAAAGATCCCTGAGTGGTTGCGGCTATTTTTAGCTGGAATTAAGTCCAGTCTCTGAATTTGAATAGTCGCTACATTTTTTGACGCATTGAAATGCTTCCATTAAATTAAATCTTGAAGTATGGTATCTGGATCTTAACGTTTTGAGACGATTGCACTAATGATAAATATACCTTTGTTACATTACATTTGGTAGAAAAGTCGTATTTCTGACGTTTCGTGGCTTAATGTAAGCCACTTCTTCAGAGTAAATAAACGACCGACATTAACTCAAGTTTACATAGCACAAAGGAAACAATGCAAAATATTTTTAGTACAATTAAAATCATAATAGGTCTGAATATGTCAATGTGAAATTATTATTGATCAAGGGATCTCCAGTATCGATCGTCGCAAATTTATTTATGTCCCACATGTGACGATCGTTTTGGTCAAGACCACTCATCTGGCTCAGATATGTAGATGACACATTTTTCATTATTGAAAAGACTTACTAATTTCTCAAAACATCAAATTCACTGTCAAAAAGGCAGATGAACATAGTGGACCATCGTTCTTAAACTGTTTGGTTAAAAGGAATCCTAATGAAAGCTATATCCCGAAAAACGACACATCCAAATCGGTATATTGCTTTTAACTCTGCACATGCATTTAGTACCGAAATTTCCCTAACTCTAAATCTCTTCAGAAGAGCAACCAAAAACATTACCTCAGAAGAAGACAAGCTGAAAGAAAATGAGAATGCATCATACGTCCTACGTTCTAACAATTTTCCTAAAAATATTACTATAAACATTAAAACAAAACTGTCCTTCGGTAAATAAAAACCTAATGGAATTTCATGTATTAGTATCGTAGTTTTACCTTACCACCACGGTACAAAAGAATTGCAGCGGATATTAAAAACTTAGAAAATTAAAGCTTTCTATAAGACAACTAACACATTAGGAAACGCTTTAGTTGGGAATAAAGATAGGATTCCGTTCACTTCCACTCAAAATTGTCTACAGATTAGGCTGTATCGATTGTGATGCGTTCAATGTTGGAGGATCTCTCCGTAAGATCTCGACCCGTACCAAGGAACATTTAAGTTACACAAAAACTTAATAATTCTCTAAAATTGGAAAATTCACAAATCAGCAATAGCAGTACATGTTATTTCCAATATTCACCAAATTGATATTAAAAATATCAAAATAATTCAGAAAGGGCTTTCTGACTACAAAGAGATGCGTGTAGCTAAAGCGTTTCACATAATGCTAAATCCCTCCACCCTAAATAGGAATGAAGGCGTGAATGACTCATTCAACCTGAACTGTTTTTCCAAACAACCACATCCGACTTTATTTTTACACACACACAATCTTAACCTACTACTTTATATCACAAATGTGTACATCTCTCATGCCTACATTCTGACACAAATTAGTACAGTGACAGGCCATGCAGGAATAATTTCACATTGACATATTCAGACCTATTATGATTTTAATTGTACTAAAAATATTTTGCATTGTTTCCTTTGTGTTATGTAAACTTGAGTTAATGTCGGTCGTTTATTTACTCTGAAGAAGTGGCTTACATTAAGCCACGAAACGTCAGAAATACGATTTTTCTACTCATTGTAATATGACACAAATATATTTATTATTAACTCTCTACACAATGCTCAATTTATTTGAAACTATCAAGTCCAACCATGGTATGGATACCTGCTTTACACTGATGTTAATAATTTCAACGATCATAGTATTCACATTGCGCTGACAAGTTATCAACCAGCAAACGGTTATCTTTTTCGTTCGTATATACGGGTTTCGGCTTGTCACTACTTAATACACAATTATCTTTCTCCAATATCTCTTTGTTCAGTTATTTTTGTGAAAAAAATATAGTGAATTAGCAGAAGAGATAAATCTGTATTTGATATTAAGAAGTATATATGCATATTAAACACAAATAATTAAAAGAATAGACATAGAGAAAAAAACCAGCTTCATAGATGTCATATATGAATATATGTAGACCTTTATACGTTAATTAATAGATAACAAGAGTAGAATTCACAAAGAATAATGGTGTATATTAATAATGTGTCATTGTAAATCAACTTGGAAAATAAATTAGAATTGTCGTACTATAACACATAATTCACCATATATTTTATACAATGTACGGTATATATACGTAGATGAATGGGAGTTAATAGGTTTGCAGTCGATTATGTAGACAAAAGTGCAATTTAATGGTTAACCATAATACATCATGCCTACTGAATATCAATATCAGTAGTTTGAAAGCATCTTAAAAATAAGCAATGGCTTGGTACATTGTATTTGAACTGCAACCCACCCATACACTTGAAATTTCGGATTATGATTGAGAATTCTTAGAATTAACAGAAAATTGAATCAGATAATACGATTAATGCAACAAATAAATGCCTGCAATACAATTTACACACATTTAATCAATAATAATAATATATAAAGATGTACGTTTCTGGTAAAGTGAAAGACTGAAGTGTAATGTAATGATATCAGCAAGAACAACTTTAATGTATAATAAGAATTATCTGAAAGGCAGGATGATAAAATCTCATATTTATATTTTAAGAACGAGTAATCAAGAACGAAAACTAATATATTAGCTGCATAATTAAATGAAATGTCAGGAAACAAGTTATAGACAAGCAATTTTAAAAAATAAAGTCAGCAGGAAAATTCGAGAGACTAATGAAACGCAGGGATTTGTCTACTTTCTACACATTCAATTGAGTTGACTTTGTTTTCTATTATTTTCTTTTCATAGTTCAGATCCATTCTGTTTATCCCTGTATATATTATTAGTATTGTAATCTTATTAATAAAATGCATAAGATGAATGTCCATACTTTATATGAGTTAAAATATTAATGATTTCCGTATTTAGAAGTAAAAATAGGGAGAAAAAAATAATCAATTAATTAATCAAACAATACTAAATATTTATTCTAGTAAAATAATGAAATTTTCTTCTAGACAAACTTGAATAGAAATGATAGACATCTCAGCATGTGATTATAGAATTAATTATTACATATAATTTAGATATAGACTGATAGGCTGAGCGAGTTAGGCATATCACACGTAGGTGCTCAAAAGTTATCTTAGGGTTAAAGCGTAAGTGAAAAATTGTAAATGGAACACGCTGTTAGAGGACATCGATTATATTCTTAGTCAAGATCTCAATTTAAATATATTTGACTGTATTGGAAGGATAAATTCTGTTAATAATATCTTATTTCCTTTCACTCATGTCATATTCCTTTCAAAAATTATTGGTTTTTTTCTGTTTTGTATGTAATAAACTATTGTAGTGTAGGATTTATTTGATTTAAAGTATAAACAGAGTTTTTTTTCATATAGCGATATCTCAGATGAGATTTAAAACTACAAAGATGATAAGACATAATACTGACAACGTGAAAACCATTGTGGTTTCTCAAATTCAAATTAAAAACGAGACGTATTATTCTATGGTAAAGTTTCGTAGAAAAATTTTAAAGGGCAGAATAGTTTAAAGCATTCGTCCCATATAAAATCGCGTTCTAATTGAATGATTGTCATTAATGTGAAAATTATTGGGACATAAGATCGAAATAATGAAAAATGTCATCATAAAATTATGTTCTGAGTATTTAGAATGAATTTACGACAAACCATTAACACACATATTAAACATATAATTGTGGCTTAAAACAACTGACATGTTGCAAGCAGTTGGCTAGTATGATTTCTCTTATTATAATCACTATATATATATATATATATATATATATATATATATATATATATATATATATATATATATATATATATATATAGGCTCAGAATCGATCACTATGGCGTCGTTGTACACACTCTCTTTCTTCCCTTAAACTAAGAGATTGAAATCGCTTCATATCTTTCTTTCTACGAACTAATTCTTTCTTCATGTACTATACCCTTATTACAATCTTTCTTTTATATATTACCACCCCTGAATTAACTACTTTTATGAATCCAGTGTCCATCTTGTTGTGTTAATGAGGTATGGCAACTTGGACTGATGCATAAATGTGCCTGGTCCTATGTTGTAGCTGACTGACTGACTGATATATATATATCCAGTATTTTAAGTAGTAATTCAAAAATTCCTCAATTATATTACATCACCATGAGTGCAGGAAGTATATCAATCCGACGTATTTGTAGATATGATAAATAAGCTGTAGAATAAAAAATTGACATCGGTAAAACGTTTGATAGGCATTATGTAACACGATAAAAAAAATGCAGTTTACACAACATTAAAATGTGACAACTACTACAGTTGATATTTAGACTGTCGATTACGTAAGTGATCAACAAGGTCAATATGATGACAGTGATAATAAAGAGGACAACAATGAATATATAGATGAATAATTATGTGTGTACGAGGACCATGCAATCTATGCAGCCGAATATATACAGACATGGATACACAAACGATCAACAAATGGTGTATATATGGTAACCAAAATACTATTAAATTATGTAATCAAAACTGTATGATATCTTTACATACTTTGTGATACTAACTGGTCATTTTTATTTTATTATTCTGATCCTGTATTTAATGTGTACACACTAGGATAAATGTATGGATAACTATAAACATACGAAAACACACACATACAATATGCACATGTGTGCTTCTCATTCTAACTCACACGAATACGTTTACATTTTATAATCTAGAAAAAATATAATTAGTTGTAAAGAGAAAAAAGGCAAATAACGAGATGTTAACATTAAATAAAATTAGTAACATATTATACAATAAATTTGTTTAATTACAATCACATGGGTAGGTAGATGTAAAAATGTAATCAAAATTATCATTGGTAAAAAAACATCACATCATAAATGATGGAATATTCATTTGTTTGTTTAATGTCTTTTCTACGAATTCAACTTCAAGCGATTGAAAGTGATGATAATAATAATACACTTTAAACGTGTCATGTCAAGAGTTATGCGTATAGAATTGAAAAGTAATAGGCAGATAAACAAAATATAATTATAACAACAAGAATAATTACATTGAATTAATCTAAATGATGTTTATGAAGTAGGTGGCAGTTAAAATGCTTTAAAAAAATAAATCATTAACTAGGTTGTTTCATGTTTGGACTCTACACTTTATGATAACTTTAAATTAGTTGATTAGTAGTAGTATAGATATAGTTCTTAATATTGAAAATATAGTTGATACTTGCAACCAAGTACATAGGTATAATGTACTTGATAAACGAGTTGTGTTACAATGGACAAGACTTATAGTACAGGTGGATGGATATTTTTGGTGATGTTGTGTTTTTCAACTATAACATGTTTATTTAAATAGTGTCATGAACTCAAAAGAACGAAGATTCTATCAATATATGCATATGACTAAACATCATATGTGGGGTTTCTTAGAATGTTATATATTAAACTTAACAAGTACATATTTATAAACCTGGCTTTCAGATATATTTTAGGTATGAGGTTAAGCGACACCACCCTTCATATCTAAAGAGAATTAGATGGAAGGCAGATCGCGAAACTGAGACCTAGTGTTTGAAAGTTATTGCACTGATGGTCTACACAGGAAGAAATATTCTGTGGGATTTTCCAGTTTATCACGAAACTTAATATCAAATGAGATTACATACAACTATGGCTAATAAAAACAATTGCGATGAAAATCTCTAAATAGAAAATTATAAACATGAAAGAAGTTGTGGAGTATTACAAATTAATCCAATTTTACGTGCACCATGTATAAATAATACCAACTAACAATCATCTATTCAATAATGGTTTAGTGATATCGTTAACGAACTGGATATATGTTTTGCCTTAGTATAGGTTTCCACAAAATTAGGCATATAGTCCCATACAATGAACAACTAGCTGTTCAGTGCTTCTTAATTTCCAATAGTTGTCTAACTAAGATCAGTCCGTTATGTAAGCTACAAAATTTCAAATAACTTTAACACAAAAACGACATATTTTACCATGTGTATCCTATGCTATAAACATATGGTATGATTACCTGATGTTCTATTTTAATAAAAGCATTTAAAATCAGAATTCCTAAAGAAAAGTAGTCGATAGTTTTTTTCAACATTCTCTGCTGATGAATATTTGGTAATTACAGCTTGCTATTTTCAATGACAAAATAACTCATGAATAAACGGAAAACTCCCATTATGACATTAAATAAGAAAGAAAGATTAGTTCAGCGAAGAGTTCTCTTTTCGGCGAATTCATTTTCAAAGCTGTACAATCGCAAATATATATACTTATTTTTACAGGGTGATAATAATACTGATAATAAACTTATGTTATACATGGTGACAGTGAGGTTAAATAAACAAAGGTATTAGAAAAAATTTTTTTTTAAAAAACAAGGAAAGTTTGATAGTTAATGGCTTAGATATTCATCGGGTAAGAGTAGCTCAGCATGATAAAATAACATAAAATGTTGAAACAGAGATGAAATGTAATCGGAATGATCGTTGAAATAAAAACAAACCGGTTGGGGGTACAAGATTTGAAGGGAAGATGGAAGGTGAAGCAGGTGGCTGTAAAAGAACAAGAGTAATGAGAAAGAGAAAAAAATTTTAATACCTTAAGACCACGGTAAAAGAAGAGGTTGTACCAGTCTCTTTTGTACACATAATTCTGGTTTTTCAAAATGTATGGCTATTGCCTCGGCAATGCAAAGGAGATGTAGTCTAATTGTCTTAGGAAGGTTTCTACTTACCTTGTAGATGACTTTGAACGCAGAGTCTGTCTTGATTGAGTGACCTGTGTTCACAAGGTGTTCGATTATAGAACTTCTTATTGAGCCGCTGCCTCCTCTTCTTAGCCACGCCGGACAATGTTCTTGAATTCTTTTGGATAAAGTACGCATCGAACGACCTATATACCTAGCTCCACAAGAGCAGGTAAATTGGTAAATGCACATTGAATTGGTCAGATGCGATAATTTATCTTTCAGATTATTGGCGAACAGTGATCGGCTGGAGAATAATATTCGCAATGTTGCTGCGAAAAATGTTCTTTTTAAAGAATCTGAAATTCTCCTCTTTAAGATATATGCGGCTCTATCACCTTTGAAGTCGATGTTCATGTATAAAATTTTCTTTTCTACTGCAGTTGTTTGTGGTCTTGGCATTTTCGGTTTCATGTTCTTATCAATGAATATAGAAGGATATCCGTTTTTGATAAGTATCTCTTTTAAAAAACTCAATTCTTCCTCTACGACCTCAGGGCTACAGATTCTTCGTATTCTTGTGGCGAGAGTTATTATTAAGTTTCTTTTTCGGCTGATGGGAACCCAACTGTGGAAATTTGATAGTTGGCCATTCCACATGGGTTTCCTGTAGATAGATCTTTTTAAAGTACCATCTTGTTTCCTTGTTATATCTACATCAAGGAAGTGAATATTTTGTTTGCTTTCAACTTCAATTGTGAATTTTATTGATGGGTGACAATTATTAAATGTATTTAGGAGATCACTTAAGTTACATTTGTTATCACAAATGATAAAGATATCATCCATATACCTTTTATATAAGTGGAGGTTTTCTATAATTCTTTTAAGTTGGTTGTTTTCTGCTCTTGTGGAGCTAGGTATATAGGTCGTTCGATGCGTACTTTATCCAAAAGAATTCAAGAACATTGTCCGGCGTGGCTAAGAAGAGGAGGCAGCGGCTCAATAAGAAGTTCTATAATCGAACACCTTGTGAACACAGGTCACTCAATCAAGACAGACTCTGCGTTCAAAGTCGTCTACAAGGTAAGTAGAAACCTTCCTAAGACAATTAGACTACATCTCCTTTGCATTGCCGAGGCAATAGCCATACATTTTGAAAAACCAGAATTATGTGTACAAAAGAGACTGGTACAACCTCTTCTTTTACCGTGGTCTTAAGGTATTAAATTTTTTTTCTCTTTCTCATTACTCTTGTTCTTTTACAGCCACCTGCTTCACCTTCCATCTTCCCTTCAAATCTTGTACCCCCAACCGGTTTGTTTTTATTTCAACGATCATTCCGATTACATTTCATCTCTGTTTCAACATTTTATGTTATTTTATCATGCTGAGCTACTCTTACCCGATGAATATCTAAGCCATTAACTATCAAACTTTCCTTGTTTTTTAAAAAAAAAAATTTTTTTTTCTAATACCTTTGTTTATTTAACCTCACTGTCACTATGTATAACAGAAGTTTATTATCAGTATTATTATCACCCTGTAAAAATAAGTATATATATTTGCGATTGTACAGCTTTGAAAATGAATTCGCCGAAAAGAGAACTCTTCGCTGAACTAATCTTTCTTTCTTATTTAAACTCATGAATACACTAATTGTATAAAATAAAGAGCATATTTATAAGCGGGAATTATTTTCAGGAACTTTGTCTTCACTTTTTAAAAGTATTGAAAATTCACTCATAATTTATTACAATTGGTATTATATTAGAGAATAATTATAAAGGTTTTAATTATATTAATCAGTGTGTTTAGATTGGAAATAATGAACTTCATCCACATTAAATCTTAAATCTATTACAAAATACGTCATATGAAGCCAGAAAGTTGATGAGGTTATAATCATTAGTGAAGAGTCATGTGAATATGAAATTGAGTAAGAAATATGTTATTTTGTTGTTGTTATTTTGATCAAAAGTAACGATAGTTTTAATGTCATGTGAATTTAAACAGATGAATGAGTAATCACTAATCTTCTACGAGTATGGACATGGCAAAGCTAAACATAAAAACAATATTGGAAGATAAAATTTTTCAATATGAAACTGACAAAATCAGTTAAATTAAGAATGAGATGACTATATTGTGTGGAAAAAAAAACAGACAAATGGGTTGAAATAAATAGAATACAGTAATATAATAGTAATAAGTCACATAGTGTACAGAAAAAAAGGATTTCAATTCCTATTGATCGTCATCTATGACACTCTAAGATTAGCACTGGCAGGCTTATTGTAGAAAAGTAATTTCTACTTTGAGAACTACAATGAAGTTAGAGAAAAACATAACAGTTTGAGTTAATGTAGAACTAAATCCCAAAGAAATTGCATTATCATCCGCTTATCATAGTATGTATTGAACAAAATGTGACTCTTAAAAAGATGTTTTGTGTATATTTGTCTAATTTGTGAGTAGTATTTATCGCATATTAATTCCAGTGAAGTTAAGTCTTAAGAACTCGGTTATCTTGGGACAACATTCTTGATAGGGCACCGGGGCAGTATCACAGCCTTCACACATATAAAATGAGACTTGTGTAGCGCATATGTATTTGGTGCCTCTTTGTACCAATATCTATGTGTTAAAATAAATAAATAAATAAATAATAGGGTCATGAGTCCACACTGTTGAGAAAGAAGGAGCTCCATGTTTCCAATGGTGCGTCAATCGAGATCAGTCTGTGAAAAACACAGCCTACATCTATTACAAACGCTGTATTGTGTATATGACCAGAATAATCAAGAGAAACAGTAATATTTATGATGTCTTTTGATTATTGATTCTACACAGTGGACAAATACGTATTTATTGATATTAATTAAAGCACATTGACACTAATCTAAAGGTATGTATTACACCATTAAACGTGTTTCATCATCTGTAGGGACGCAGGTGCACACTGCTGATTTGTATAAAATTAAGAAAGAAACAACTGTCTACTAGTCTTTGGTTTTCGACAGTTTATTTTCTCTAATTTTGATTTCTATAGAAAATGATCTCCAAAACGAACTAAAATGTTCACCAGAAACCAAACTAAAAAATAGTAGAAAAACGTTTCTACTTCACACACAGAAATGGTTAAAATACGATAAGATTGAAGTTGCGATGCATCAAGGTTATTTTCGGTATATGAAATGGAGCAGACAGAAAATCTAATATCTTACTACAGAAATCAAATGTAAAACATTGTATGTGATTACACAGAAGTCATTATTATTAGAAATCTAAGAAGGGTATTTGGTTATTTTGTTAAATAAGTTTTAAAATAGAAGGAAACTTAACAATCAACCATTATTATTAGGGGCTTTACATGAAATTCGACGAGTTTTACAGGGGTATTTGATGAAATTATTAGATAAATAAACTATGGTACACTGTACTGGAGCAAATGTAGGAGTGATACAACTTCACGTGAAACGATACCAACCAGTAGTGATTTACTATAATTGTCAGTGTTAAAATTCGTATTCAAAATGGTTAAGCAGGTAATAATAGTGATGATTGTACACTATTTACTTTATAGTAAAAGGTTTACGACCTCGATCACTTTCGTATTAAAATTGAAGTAAGTTGTGTTAAACAAAAATAATGTATAGATAAGATTGTCTGAACATTAACAAAGTACACGAAAAGATTTGGAAAACATTTGTTGTTTTTTTCGAATGGATGTCGATGCCTTTGTATTCGTTCCACTCTGAAACTCATCTACAAATAGTAAGTAAACTATCCGAATGGATTGACCTCATTAAGAACGTGTATACCAAGTATATCTATAATTGAAGATTCGTCTGAGTTGAAAATTATGACAATCTGAATTAAACAGATTTAGTTCATGATCTTAAAATTGTTTTGCTGAACTATCCGTTGGAAGATAAATGTAAATTCAACACGACGTGAGCTCTTTCTGAAAATATCTTTCAGGATTAACTTGATTAGCTTTACAAATAATTGTGCAATTCAGTCAGTAGTTTCATTCAGGATAGTTGTTTGCCAATACCAACCCCTTCTATATGGCTGTTCGGAAATATAAATTCAAAAAGAAACAACCTGGATCCTTCTGGGGTTAGAACACTGGTCTTCAATTTACGAGTTTTACTTGTTCACATTGGTTCTGACGTCAGCCTTACTTTAGATAATTGATATTTCCGAACAATTTATAGCTAAATCAGTTTTATAATAGATTATTACACATGTCAAGTAAAACGTACATAAAATTGTACAACCTAATTAAATGATATCGCCAAAAAGAAAATTTTCTTCGCTGATAATACATATGAATATGTTTAAAAAAATACAAAACAGAGAAAGACAAATAGGCAGAGAATAAATTCTTATACTTGGCTTTTTTCTAATAATTAAAATTTGAGCATTTCAATGTGCTATTAGAACCTAACACTGTTGGTAAAACTGTTATTGTATAGAAAACAAGAAGAACTTAACGAAAAACGAAACTTACATTAATATGATTTTGATCATTATTCTTTGTTACATTCGGATGACGAAAATGAAATCTTATTGGAAGTGAAGCAAATGACAAAGGAGTTTGAGTGTTATTTGACGCTGACAGTTCACTAAAAAATGATGATGGTGATGGACTGGTGTAAAAATTAACTGATGTATTGGAATTTTGACTAGTTGATGGTAAAGAATCATAAGTCATACTGCTACTGCTACTACTACTATTATTTGAATAATCAGATAACTGTGATCCAATTAACAGATCAGACAAATCTGTCATAGAAGTATGTAGTGCTCGAGCACGAACAGATCTAGTAAAATATGGTTCTCTGGCAGTTTTATTAATTGAATATGTAACTGTTGGTGATGATGGTCTGATTGTTGTGGCTGCTGATGATTGATTATTTCGGATGAATAAAGGATCTTGAGAGTACAATGTCGTCCTAATGAAAAGGAAACATAGTAACAATATAACGTGATTATGGCTACAAATTATCAAAAAGTTATTACTACTAGGATGTAATGAGAATACACATATTTAGGCCAAAGTGGAAGCGAACCATTTTATTTATTAAAATTACACCTGTTTAGTATCATTCTCAAACAAATTTTACAGTTGGAATCAATGTTACAGTAATAGTTATTTGTATATATGCTTTATGAGAACTAAAGAAGATTACTTTATAACTATATTATAAGTTATATTCTTCAATCAACAATTAGATTACGCGTACTTCAAAAAGAAAAAGGATAGTTGAGTATAAAAAAAGAGTTTGCAATTTCATGCATGAAATCTATATCAGACGACACTGGTTTGCAAGAGAGTGTAAACTTGATAGGTAAAATATACATACATTACAAAATTATGCAACAATATACATATGGGACTAGTCAACCAATCACAAACACACAAAGACTACTTACACAGGTAATCGGATTGTTTTTGTTCCTGGACATTTTGTAGAATGACGACTTGAAGAAGTATCGACAGTTGAATGAATATGATTTGTTTCAGTGAAATAATCACTAGTGGTGGAAGATGTTTGTTTGCATAAGTGATGTCTTTGTTGTTGCTGTTGTTCTTGGCGGACACTTTGTCTAAGATTATATGTCGGGGTTTTTATTGAACCATGACTCTTATTATTATTATTATTATTATTATTATTATTATTATTATTATTATTATTATTATTGACATTAAAATTATCTATATAATTCAGTGTAACTGGATTTAAAACATCACTAAAACTATATCGATTATTGGTAGACATTGGAGAATAATTCGTATTGTTTAATGGATCTAATTCACTTTGTACAACATTGTCATATACAGGAATATTAGTCAAATTACTATTGTGATGACCATAAATACATTTTGCATTATTGCAGTTATTGTGTTTGATATCAACAGAGGTAGCAAATGGGACTATATTACCTAAATCAAGAGATTTTCTTATTGTTGATGATGTGCGTTTTATTGGTACTGATGTATGATCCATTGTCATTGGTACTGAAGTATCGCTTGTGATAATTGTAGTCGTTGTTTTCATTGATGGTGATGCAACTGACCGGTTAGTTAATGGAACTGAATTACCAATCAACTTCTCTTTATCAACGTTATTTTTAGTAATAGTTAGATTGTTATTAATATTATTATCATCAGTAGTCGGTTTAGTACGTTTCACTCCAATTCTATTGCTATAAAGTACAAAGACAAACAAATAACAAACTGAAGTCTATGAAATTCTGAGCATAAAAATTCATAATGTATCATTGATAATTAGAATAAAACGATAGACTGACATTTATTTATTACGTTTGAACAAGTGTAGTTATTAAGTAATACAATTAAACACTGACTAATAGTATTATTATGTGAAATTAATCGGTTAAAAGTTACTGTAAATTAAGGTGTACATAATATAGTCATTAGGTTAAATGACTTTGAAGACCAGAGAAAACTGTAGTCACAGAAACGTAAACTATACAAATTTTTATAAAATAGATGGATGACAGCTAGTAGTGCAATCTGAGATATATATTTTATTCTATTTTGAACTTTTTAGCTGGATAAACTTGTGTCAATATTGATGTAGCTCAACGGATGTTAGGAGTTTGAAGTGAAAGATACTGAATTGAAGTTTCAATGTGGTCATCGAAATTTGAATCCAGATACACCTAGATAACAAGTTTCAAATAGGACAAAACTAGCGTACTGAATTTCACTGCTAGCCACAAACCATCTATTCTCTAAAAGCTTATGACAAAATGGCCTGGTGGAGGCAATCCAGACAGAATGAACAGATGCTAAGATTGATTAAAATAATAATTTGAACCGCTAATAATAATGACGTGAATTGCATGTGAATCGATAAAAGAATTTTGCCACTATTTATTTATTTTGGTTAAATGAATACGGAGAAAATTTATCCATCAATATAAGACTGAGAAACGATATCAACAAGATAGACTGATGTGATATAACTGAACGGTATGACTGCTAAAGAATCACTAATTACAACTTCAAACATCTCAGAAGCCAAAGTTTTTGTCTACTTAACAATTTACTCTATGTGCAGAATTATTTCTAACTGACAAGTAAGTAAACAATTAAAGTGGTCTAAAAATATTGCTACAAACAAAAGTTATAGAGCAATCTATCATTAAATCTATAACGTTTGATGTTATTTAAAGAAATCACTTTCGATTTTACCAATTTATGTCCTCTACCATGGGTATCATCTAGAGCACTTAATCACTTAATTTTGATGAGTTTCGGCCAGAATAAATCAAACGATTTATGTGTAAATTGTGATGACATAGAACTAGATATGTGTCTCTGAAAGAAAATATTTGCAAAAGGACATTTTATGAATAATTGTCGAAGGCTTAAGTTTGAAGAGGTGTACGATTCGATAAATGCATATCGAAATAATCGGACATGGTAAACTCATGGTGTTTGTTGTGAATGGATAAAAAACATGACAGTTAGTTTGTAAAGCACTGAATTAACAGATTTCTCTATTTATTAGAAGTAACATCTTAGCAAGTAGTGTTGAATCAGTTTGAATCTCAGCTTCACAAGTTATCCGATGATAAGTTCCGTATACTTATTTTCAGTTGAAATAACTTTGAAAAAAGAGTTTGACAATATCCAGAGAGTTGAATTTACAGATTTTATAATGCACAATGAACATTATATTTTAACTATAAAAACTTATTCGCGCACTGTTGCTCATAGAGATCGATTTAAGATCGTTTTATCGTTTCAGTTTGTATGGTAAAATATCTAGAAACATTTTTATCTCACATCTTTAAGTTAACATGAACCTGAACAGAGAGTTATCTCTTATAAATGATTTTGGATATACGTACGCCTTAATTGGACTACAGTATTCAAAACCACGAGGTTTTGTGAAAAGTTGGATCCCGGTTCAGTGGTTTGGAGGTTAAGAGTTCGCGCGCGACCAAACATCCTGGGTTCGAGTTAAGCGTGCAGGATCATGAATACACACTGCTGTGGAGTTCCATACTACGACGATAGGTTTTCAATGGTTGTCTAACATTGATCTGTTCATGATCTCACTGAAAACTCAAATAATACTACTTGATAATCCTCATTAGATTCGTGAAATAATGAAGAAAATTTACATAACAGATGGATGTTTTTGGTGATGTTGTATTCCTTGAGTTAGGGAGTTTAATTGTGGAAATTTCATTGTCATTCTGAACAACATTGAGGTCTAATACTTCTACGGAAAATAGACACAGATGCTGTTCAGAACGACAAGCAACGTGCAGTGATTTAATCACTTAATATGTATTTCCCGCTTTATGTAATATAATCAAAAACAAAATAGCCATTCCTGATTCCATTTTTGTGATTAAAATTATTTTATAATATAAATTATAATAACACTGAAGTTAATTTACTATAGTTAGACTGGTAAAATGCATAACATTCTGGAGGAAGAATGTATTTTTAAAATATTTCCTTGAAAAAGCTTGGACCAGATTGCCAGGAGAAACGTTAGATTTACTTTAAATTCATTCGCTGAGATTATACAAATACATTCTACCTCCTTAATGTCTCACATCAACTCGATCCCCAAATACTTTGATACATAACATTCTGCCTTGGTAAATGTAATTTTTTCAAGAATATAACTATAAAAGAATATTAAAAATCCATAAATTGATTAATATGAAGCTTTTGTCAATATGATTTCCACAAGTTTATTTGATAATCTTATGCAATAATTGAAAAGATTAGTTCTTTTCAATTTTACTGGTTGTGCTGAGCATCGAAAACATTTATTCTTCAACCGAACCAACATGGGGAAAAAAGTAATCTGAGGGTGATTTCAGACTATGTCACGCTGGTTATCCAACCATAAGTCAAGATTAGCTTGTGGATCCCAAATGATCATCCATGTTCTGAAAAGCCAATACTTCCAGGCAATAAAATATACATGCATTGAAATCATGTACGCCAATTGCAAACAAAATAATGGTTACTCAGATGAACTTAAGCATTGTACTTCATAACAACAATAACCACGCAAGTTACAGGCTTTTAAAGACAAAGGATATCTGTTAATCTGGGAAATATAAATTGTGAGCTTTTTAACCATTGTTGACGTAAATAGTGATGTAATGGAAAACTTTCGGAGGTTTTGTATTTATAATTGAGAAAGATAACATTCTACTTCACAAATTTAAAATAACGACATAAAAATAACTTTTCTCCGTGAAGTTAAGCAAATAATTTCTATCTACAGATCAACGTAACGAACTTGCGTCTATAGGACTAAGAAAAAACTCCAATTTACATTAAACATCGACGTAAAAATACCACTCAGATAATATATTCACATAATCATACACTTTACAGACAATAAAAGTATGTTATAAAAGACGAATCCTAGAAACCTTGAGTTTGACCAAGTAAATTGAAGGAAATTATGACCTTTAATTAAATAATATGCTGATATAAACGAGTGGAATTTATTGTGGTAGACAAAATAGATTTACACAGTTGCTATAGGAATCGAAAACAGATATAGTTACTAGTCTAGAGGACAACATATCCCACTAAACCACGTAACACCAGAAGACACAGTTGGGTCTATGAGTGAGCAGAATTAATATTGAGGATAAATACTACTTTTTACACGTAATTTTAAGCAAAAAAAGGTGATTAAATGGTTTGTGGCAAACAGTTATATTAGTATTATTAATGGCTTTGTTCAATAATATATTTTTGTACAATATAGAATGCTCTCTAATGCCCTGGTATGGCTGAGGGTAGGGAGAGTCAGCTCTCCCTATCGAAATGCTCTCACATGGTCACATGTATACAACGACTGCCAGGAAATTCTCACTCAATGAATTCTCGCGACGAGGGTGTTGCTTACAAAATTGAAAGGACGAAAAGTGAATGTCCGGTGCTTTAACCGGGTTGGTAGACACGAAGAGTCCACCTAAGGGAGTTGGAAAACCCTGATTCCAAACCAATGGTTCAAATCGGCTTCAGGATCCTAAGGGAACAAATGGCGTATGAACCAATTATTGGCCACCGGCTACCATGGGACTGCATCTCATGACGTTGCTCCACTACCATGTGGATCAGACCTTTAGGTCGAAGGCTTGGGGAGTGGCCATCTAAGAAAACCACCTGCTTCGGTCTGGGCACCCGGCAGTATCACAGCTCACACACAAATCAAGTGACTTGTGTGGCGCCTATGTGTTCGGTGCCCTCTTGCACCAATATTTATGTGTTAAAATAAATAAATAATAACAATATAGAATTTTGAGAACAAAATATTTCAACAAGTTTCCTTTCTTCATTTCTTGATCTATCCTGACGATATTGAGCGATCCCAAGTTAGATACTAACAGTTCAGGAATTGACATCTGAATAATGTTCATTCTTTTAATGTATATTCCCAGCCATCATGATGTCTCTGACTGTACGTTTTTGTAACTTGTATAGTGAAAGGTCGTAAACATTTCGTAAACGCGCCTGAACGGGTTATGTGATTAATAGACATAAAGAGGAGATAAAAAAATAAAAACAGATCACTCGTTGAAATATATAGATAGCAGGGACAGGTAGCCCAAATATTCGAGCAGGCCGTCAATGAATAGATTATTCAATAAGGCTTATTCTGACTTTGGAGCAGTGAAAACCATAATCTAGGGTAAAAGAATTTCTTACATTACTAATTATTGAGAGAAAATTCTGATCCCTGCAACAGCTGCTTCCTTACACTTGTTGTTTTATAAGCGTATAAAGATGGAAATATTTGCCATCTAAAAGAAATTTCTTTTAAATAGAACAATACAGTACAAGGAAACTCAATTGCGTTATGGATAATCTGTGTCACATGTTTTCACCAATATTGTTACATGTGTAATAAATTGTTGAAAATAAGGACATTATATTTAACCAAAGTGAACTTGAAATATTTTGTGTTATAATAGTTTGTCAGTGGTCTAAATGAGAAGAGAATATGAATATTAACTCATTTTTAAAATAACAAACTATATACGCTTTATGTATATTATGGTTATCCATAATTTCAAGTACGGTTTAAAGTTAAGTTGGATATTTCTATACCTATATCATAACCAATGAATGAAATTATTTGCAAGTACCTTGAATGTTATTTTCAATGAAATGTCGAAAAAAGAAATATATTATGAATAGCATAAAAATAAACTGACTAATGAATATCATTGTTTAACTGTGAGTGCTCTGATTTCATGCAGGAGATTAGTAACTAAAACTGATACCTTGATTCAAATTGTGATCTCTACGTTATGTCTTTTGCCTCTGTCAATTATCACGTGACAAGATCGTCAATCATAACACTGACTAATATGACCATGACTCTGTGCCAATACAATGATGTGCTAACCAGCACGAACTAATTAGAGTCAACTCTGAATCCCTATGGGCTTTTCCGTCCTTGCCTTAACCGCTGATTCCAGAACACAATCTCAGCTTCTACTATATGAATCATGTATTTCGGACATACACAGTTTATATAAAAACAGACTAGACCGCGTCACACCAGTCAATCAGCTAAAAAGTACAACCAGGCACATATACGCATCGGTCCAAGATGCCATACCACATTAGCACAACAAGATGAACAACGAATTCATAGTAGTTAATTCAGTGGTGCTAATATATAAAAGAAAGACTGCATATAAGCTGTTCGTATATCTTTCCAAACAACATATGGGTCAGCCTCATTTTCATAACGACTTAAGTGTGACCTCAGTTCTTCCTGGAACCTACTTTGGTTTTCTCATCGCTCAGTTCACTTATAATGGGACTTTTTAGTGTGGCTTTTCTGCGTCCAGTGAGACGCAAGCAAATGTGTGCCATATTAGAACAAGGCCGGAGTCCAAGCAGGTACTCCAGAATGAGCGACAATCTTCTACCGACCCTCTCCAACGATGACTGATGGCAATATGGTCTATTTGAGTCCATCGCTGGTTTGGTGTAGGGGGTCGCCATGTTAGACGATGTCTCTTCTTATGCTTAAAATTTGTGTTTGCTAAAAATAAACGATTGTCTGAGCACAGTTGCAGCAGACGATCACTATTATCTGTTCGCTGAGGTGGGATACTAAAATACCCACCTAAATGTCTTTCTGCTTGGTTTAAGCTACCCATCTGGGGATTAAAGTCACCTGCTACGAGTACTATGTCTGAGCGTTTAGCTTTCTGAAGAAGCTTTCTGTAAAAGTCATCTTTCACTCCATCCGTGTCGCAGTCAGTGGGAGCGTAGGCAGAAACGACGAAAAGGCAACGACGTGTTTCCCTATCCTTCCGAGTTCTTACGGAGCCGTTTAATCGAACAGCACATAAACGACTGTTAACGGGGATCCACTCTAACAGTGCTTGTTCCGCCCTCATACTTAGTGCCATCCCTACTCCTGCCAGTCCACGAGAACTGGCCGTCGGGTCACCAGATACACGGAGGGTGTATCTCATCGGCTCTTCTTTTCGGCGAGGTGGGGTCAAGTGAAAGACCGCACTAGGATCCAGTATACGTGTTTCGGAGATGCAGTATTCATCAGTGGTACGAGATTCTAGAGTCTCAACCAAAGAAACCTGCAGACCGATTTGACATAGGGTGCGTACGTTGAAAGCTCCAATGTGTAGTTTGGAGAGAGGTTTCAGTAGACCTGGGACAGTGTTTTGCGCACTAGAATCGTTGGCTATGATGACATTTGAGCAGGAAGTCAAAAGAGGAAGTTTAGTGCTGAAGGTCGCCGTAGGAAAATAATAGGAACTGAAGAAAGACGTTGATTATGAATAAAGTGGTTTTGAGTGTTGTTAGAGGTATGAGGGCGGTTATCATTTTACGGTTGCCCACATCGTGCAAGGGTTCTTCTGGAGGTGCCTGGAAAGGAAATCGGATTAGAGGTGATCTTAGTGACCTGAGAGCGTGACCGCAGTGCCCAAGAGACAACTGCTTGAGGCCAGTCACACACGACCTTTTGTGAGCAGTTTTCGTGTTACCTCCGTACTTGTTGGGACCTTACCGCCGGAGACGGATATCCGTGGGATGAGGCGAGGTGTGAATTTTTAGGGTCGACCTTTACTAACCCCACCCCTCCTTGTGGGAAGGCAGCATCGCTGTCATGCTGGTTGTCTGAAGGAAACACCTTACTGCTGTCACACCTCTGTACAGTCAGCAGTACGACTTCGCCTTCGGACCTTGGGTTTGTTGCTTTTAGTCTTACCTCTCATCAATCGACCTTTCTGACATGGTAGGACCTTGAGGAACGGTTGTTCCAGCCAGTATAGCTCGGTTGGTTCATCACGATAGGCAAGCCCGACCACCACGTCAAGGTAGCAACGATGGTCGGGGAATACGAATATACACACAATCTAGTTACTTTACAGTTATACAATAGGAATATATGTAATAACAGTTCATAGATAATCCCTAACAGTTACCATTCATTTTTTTCTTCGTTCGGATATAATACTTTTAGCTAAATAATTTGGTTGTAGAGCTATCCTTGCTATTTTGAACAATGTACAGCCATAGGTTATTTCAATTATTCCACAAGCGACACAAATTTAGTGTACATGTTGACTTAAATTAGTCACTTATGTTGCTCATAATAAGACAATAAAAGCTTGGCAATTTAAACTATTCAGTTAAAAATAACAATAACTATCGATTGGAACAATTCTGTCAAATTATGTTATCAGTAAATCACTCAAATCCATCTTTCCTTAGCAAAATACCTAGTTAAATGCAACCACTCACCGTACTTTAACTGTGATTGAACCACTGTTGTTACGATTTGACGACTGACGAGTTGAATATCGAGAAAAACGTGGTGGAACAGTTGGAGATACAATAGTAGATGGAGTACACTTTGTGTAGGTATCAAGTTGAGTTCTTGAATCATTATTACCCGAATATATAGGAGACATATTTCCACTTTTTTTATTCTTAGTGTTTGAGCATAACGAATTAGTATTATTAAAGTTGTCAGGACTAGATGAATAGGTTAGTGTAGATCCAGGCAATTGATCTTGAATATTTGTCATGGATGATGTACATGAAACAGAACCACGATACAAATCATGTATATCAGTTGGAGTACTTGCCGCACGATTGAAGGTACGATTCAAATTACTATTACTGTTTGTTAATTTTATATTACTGCGTTTTTGGGAATCTGATACACGCTGTTGCATTGGACGTCTCATTGCTTTTATTCTATTCAACTGATCACCTTGACTAATACGTGATTTTGAATTTAATTTAGCTGGTATTTAAAAAAATTAAACATTGTTTAAGGGTATCAGAAATTGACAAACTGTTGGGTGAAACTTAATGGTTTTAACAACTTCGTTAGTGTTTATTAATTCTAGTTCCACGACTAAGTATTAACCAAAGTATTGATAAAATGTTAGATAACTCAATAAGATATCGTTGATAGAACATGTTTTTAAATATAGTAACAGAACTAATCAATTACAATATTAGATCGTTTATCAGTCATTCAGTTTTAACAGAAAAGAAAAATGTGGTGAACTAAATGTGGCTATAAACTATTATTAAATAATATTCTGTTTTGTATTTGAATAGGATTTAATGTGGTACAATAAAAAAGATATTTAGCGACGAATTCAACGGTTACCTATAAAACTTCAGTTATTTGTGCTGATTACACAATAGAGAATTGAGACCAGATTTATTACAATTATCTCATTGTACATGATGTGAGTGATCAAAATAATGCAGAATCCAGAAAAAATAGAATGTTGGTAAGTCTGTTTACTCCTCAAAATGTCAGTTATTCTGAGAGAACCGGGTACTAAGTAGTTACATAAATCTAACTTCAATACTTATCTTCTAAGATCCACTCGTTCGTCAGAATCGCTACGAAAATCCAGAAGTTTCGCCTGGCTTCAATCTTCGCTCGCTTAGTTTATCATCTTTCAGGCCAAATAGATGATCATACTCTGCCTCAAAATAAGGTCACGTGTCCATGTCATGGGACGGGTAGGAGATTTTCTGTCTGCAGCTTAAATGAAATGCGAGTAAGACGACAGGATGAAATATAACTTCGGAGACAAGCCAAACCTTTACGACCACTTCGCCTTTGGGTTTCATACAAACCCGATGACTTGCACATATGTTAAACTCCCTGATCAACGTCTTAAGATGAGTCAGGTGAATCGTCTAATACTGAATTAGTGAAATAAAAAGAAAGCATGAAAAATTAAGTCCGACCAGGTAAACAAAACTAGACTTGTAAAACGTTCAATTTCGACAGTATGAATAGCAAAAACAAAATAAAATTTTGATAAAAGTCCCAGTAAATAGTTCAGGACTATCACTCAAAGACATGAACGATCGAAGGGACATTGTGAACAATAAAGTTTCGAAGTCAATGTCATAGATTTTAAATAGCAATAAAACGACATGATATCATCATTAAAGAGATTTGAACTATTTCGTTACTGATACTTTTAACTGAGCTTTGATTAATCTTAATTAGTATAAATGCAGCATGTTATTGATTCGTACAAGTATTGACTTTATGTTCCAAATGCATAATGATCCGATATACACATATATATGGGGACCATAGACACAAGAAGTTAGTTTCTAAGCCATATGTGCATGGTTCAAAATTAGTGTCAGTGACCGAGGTATAATCAGCCTCTGTACTGTTCCAAAGTTTAGTCTAGACGATAGTTATATTAAATCCCAAGTTTTCGTGATAGTTAGCACTTGTCAGCTGAGTGTACCTGGAACATTGAGAGAATTAGTGTTCTCTGTGGTATTGAAACTTGAGCCACCCAGCTCCACAGTCTGCGACGTTAACACTGAACAGTTTGAACCGCAACTGACATTCTACGTGAACTGAACATTTACAACTGGTTGATCCCTGAGTAGTGAGCTTATTAGTATTTATCTAGTCCCTTGGTAATGATCGAATCCTGTCAATCAGGTTGAAATGTCGTCCCAACCTTGTAAATCTTTCAGTCCCGTAGGAGGTCAATCATGACATTAACAGCTCAGTGGTACTATCTCTGTCTACGAAGATGGGTGACGCAAATTTAGATACTCCAGAGATTATCAGCTCCCTAAGGATTTCAGATACACTCTGCTGACGAATGTTAACTAGAAAAAAGCAAAAATTCAGATTTTCCTAAGACTACCACCAACGATCAAATACAGAATAGGCTAACCCTGCTAAGCAATTTCCCCTTACTTTGTTGTTTCCTTGTATTGTGCAATACTTCAATCATTTATTTGGCCGGTTGATCAGATTGAAATCATGCTACAAATATTTACGATTCTGATAATGAACAAGTACAATATATGGATATGACCGACGTAGATTTTCATATTGACTCTTGCTTTTAATCTTCAACTCAAAGACGACATTAAGATCTAATCATTCGCTCCTGAACAATTTAAGATCGAGGTATTATACTCATCAACACAACATACCGAAATGCCACAGAAAATATTGAAATCAGCAAGGGAAATTAAATTAGAAAGATATAAATAAAAGTGTAGGACAAAAGATACATCTACTCCTCAACGACAGATTTTGCGATAATTGACAACGGATCTTCAACTATAGATTATGATCACATATCTTGGAGATCTTGATTAATAGGTCCACATCTCCCTTGATGTAATTCACAACTTGACCACTATTATTGTCCACATCCAATTAAGAGATGGCTTTGTGGTCAAAATGTGCGACTTTCAGCCATTAAGTGCCGAGTTCGAACCATGCTCCACCTATTTCTTTATAGGCGGCTTGGTGGCATCAGTAGCCCTCAGACTTGAAATGTGATTCATACAAATGTCTGGTGAATTAATTAATTATATAATTTTGTTTGCCATAAATATATGCCCATATCATTCCACATGAAGTTAAACATATTTTCTTTGACGCAAATGTGCTTCATTGGCCGAATGAGAAATCAACTGAATGATAATTGTACCATATTAAGCAGTAAATGGTTTGAATTTCTAAGGAATCAATGGCTTAATTTTCTAAATTACAGAAACTTATATGTATGCATGAATGAGTTTACATACATGCCAATTCGACTATTTAACTAGGGCTTCTTTTCCACTCTTATTCTACTTATTCATATAGCCGGTTTAGCTCAAACTTAAGCAGCTTATGTATCCTTATCAAAATCGAACACTATACAAAACAATATCTTTCATAATGATAAAATTCGAAATAGATAAAAAAAAATAAAACAACAGTGTTTGTTTACGTGTTGAAATACAGTTGGAACTGTACAGAACAATCGAAAAGAAAGTTAATAAAACTTACATAATTTCTTTGATTTTTGTACATTAATTAAGTTTGGATTAATAATCACTTCGCGATCAAAACATTTCGATGAAATATCTGAATTGGTTTTTGATAAAGATTTATTGTTTTTTAATTTTGATGCATTTTTTGATTGATCATTAGATAATTGTGATAATTTAATATTTTTAACAGTTATATTGTAACATCGTGGAGAATTAGTGAGAGTCTCGGTGATAGATGCACTACTACTACTTCCACTGTTATTACCAATACTACTACTATTACTACTAATACTAAGACTGTTACTATTACTATCACTAATACCACTATTATCATTATTACTATCATTACTACTGCCAGTATTATCAGTACTAATTCCAAGAGAACAGATACTATTATTATTAATGTTATTAGTAGTAGTGGTTGTTATTGTTGTTGTTTTTCTTGCATTGCCGATATTCGATTTGATGTTTTTATTCATATTCATATTATTATTATTGTTATTACTCAAACATCCTTTATGTTGGTTTTGAACAAGACTGTTTGAAAACAAAATTTCGGAAGATAAAATAGGTGGAATAGTGCAAACATTTTTAATGCCAAGATCATTTGAATTATAATTTGACCTATATGATGGGGGAAGGAGAAAAATGGGACAAAGCAAAAACAAACATTTTATAGAAAAAGAATCTAGTTTTGTGTTGAATAATCATATTTGATAAACGAATTAGAGTATCTCGAATTAATTGAAAATAATAACCAGTAATTTCATGGTTAACTTTTATTATATATAATCAGCATCTATCATTTTAAGCATTAATGTTATGTTCTTTGATCAGTATAATGTAGATGTGTTGGTAATGAGTTATATAATTGATGTCAAATAGTTTGAGGTACTTAGTAGGTAACCCTGGATCTAGGTTTCTTATTAGTTGTTACTCACAGGCAAATTATTCTTGTGGAATTGAAATACTATAAGAGACAAATCCGAATCAGAATAACTCAGTGGTAACATCTCATACTGTGAAGCTAGGTGACCCGTGTTTGAATCCCATAGGGAGCACCAACTCCCTCATGATTCGAAGTACCTCTTGCTGAGAAACGTCATTACTGTCGACTCATTCAAAATAAAATGAAAATATAGTGCGTAAGATTTCAAGTATTTTAGTCTAGTGATCACAATGCAATTCAAACGATAGGACTCAATCAGTACAAAGGATTAGACCAACATTAGATTGACCACTACTCAGTGACCAACTAACGAGTTATGAAAGTTTGAATTCATAACAATATAATTTTCGCTTTAGCAAATATAACTAACAAAAAATTTAACAAATCTAACAAAAAGTATTTATTAATTTCCAATAAGTTGGTTTAAATAGTTGATAAACTTCAGTTAATGAGAACCATGAAACGGAGTAATGGAGGGGGTGATGTTTATTATAGAATGAATTAATTGTTTAATACGTTTTTCTAACTGAACCATCATGATATAACTTAACAAAAGAATTAGAAGAAAAATTTGAAAAAAATGTTAAACATGAAAAGTATGTATACGAAAATCAAACTTACAAAAATATAGTAATTCATACATTTGTATAGGAAAATACATACAATTAGATTTAAATGTAACATTCCATTATACACTGATGTTAATTAAAGAATTAATAAAAAAAAATGATGCAGAAAAATAACATTCATCTGCTTTCACATAGAAACTCAAGATTAGATGAATACGGTTTGAGCTGTAGATATAGGATTATAACAATATCTTACTTCAAGATTATTGTGATGTAGGAAAGGGAAGGCTTGGTTGCCTGGGCATGAATATTAGTCATAATCAAAGAACACCTTCGCAAAATTATTCGTTATCTTAAGTTCCCAAACTATATTAGCGCAGCAAGATGAATAACAAAGGAATCGATTAATGGTAATACGGATGATAATGAGAAAGACTAAATATTGAGAATATTTTTCAAGAAGATGGGACGAAAAAGTATGTATAAGGGAATAATGGATCTCAACATCCAGAGTAAGATGAAGAGGTAATGAATCTACATCGCTGTGATTGATTCTAAGACATATCATTCGACATCTCCAACGACTACTAGTATCGGTTATCATGTGCACCCAGACCAAGTACTATGCATCAATACGACTCAGACAAACAGTGAATAACTTCATGAATGGACGCCACAGTTTGCCCGTCCATAACATTTTTAACCTACTTCCGCACCAACCAATATATTATGTAGAGGCAGTCGATGTTCGGGAATATCTGACACACATCCTAACTAACTCAGTTAATAAAAATTCATAATCTCGGAACGATATTGAAATCTTTTGATTGAGATCATGAACCGAATGATATTAGACCACCGTTGGAAACCTGGAAGCACTGAACAGTCGTTTCGTCCTATTTCTGGACTCCTCAGCAGTGCACATCCACGATACCGCCCGCGAGATTCGAAACCAGGGTCTTCAGTCTCGCGCGCGAACACAACCTACTGGACCACTGAGCCGGTCGTCCAGTGCTTCCAGGTTTCCAACGGTGGTCTAACATCAATCAATTCGTGATCTCAATCAAAAACTTTATGATCTCCACAACCCCTATACTGATGATTAACATGTGTGCTCACTAGTGACTAGTTTCGTGAGGAAATTCTCGGAGTTCTAGTGGGAATCCGCGACCAGTGGAGCTAATCCGTGTCGGATAGAGACAAGTATCTACCTCAGTAACTTCGTGGATTTGGTTTATGTTAGACACTAACACCGTTGGATGCCGGCTCAGCAGTCCAGTAGGTTAAGTGTTTGCGCGCGAGACTGAAGACCCTGATTTCGAATCCCGCGAGCGGGATCGTGGGTGCGCACTCCTGAGGAGTCCCACAATAGAATGTAACGGCCGTCCAGTGCTTCCAGGTTTTCATAGTGATTCAGCTTTAATTGACTCATGATCTCAACTATTGAAAAATATTAAATACTTGTCAGGTTGTTGAAATAACATCTAGATAAAAGTATTTGAAATAAATCATCAACCATCCAGTCATAAACAATGTTAGAACCTGATAAAAATGAATATCGGCTCAAGTTGACGCATAAGTGACCAATCTTATTGACTGTGAACGGTTATTAACTGTATTTCATCCTCTTACCTTCACCCTTCTGTATCAATCAGTTGGTAATTGACTCAAATAAATGCAGTTCTTATTCATATGATATGTTCCAGATCACTTATTATTTGTCAGTTTAAATCTTTATTAATTCAGTTGTATCTCTGATATTCTATTATATTGTGTTCTAACTTTCACTTCCAGTCTGCAAATTGTATCAATACAGTCTGCGTTATTCATACCTCAATTCCAGTTACTTAGTTTTAGTCACATAAGTCAATCGTTTGCAACGTAGAACCTTGTAAGTGTGTACATTGGTTTAAGTTCATATTTCCTATCAGCACAACACGATGAAATTATCAGGCCAAATCCCGGAATAACGTAGGTAGTAACAGTATCAGTGATAATAAAAAAGATTACTCATCGAAGATACGATTCGAGAAGAAAATCTAAATTGGTGGATCGAAAAAGATTATGAGGCATTCCAAAGCTTAGGATCTGGGGAAGACAAAGAACGGATGCACTTGTATTTCGAAGTCTCTAACCACTGGTTACGATAATCATGTAGGCCTCAATCATTTATTCTACACCTGTTAAAATGGCTCAGTCAAATTGGCAGTGACCTCATGGAGTGATGCGACGTTTTGGTTCGACCGCCCCTCGGATTCTTCCAGCCCACTCCTAAACCAAACAACACCCGTCAAGGTAGGCAGTGACGGGGTACAGATAACACATGTCCCAACCACCTCAGTTGATGGAAATTCACTACCCCATCAAACGATTTCTCATCACTACGTAGTACTCTGTGCCTCCAAGACACCCAAACAAATGTGATTGAATACTAGTAATTTGTGAATATTCTCTATCCCTAATGGCTATACTTCACATCCATAAAGTAGAACGGAACGAACTGCTGCACAGCAACCTCGCCCTTTGGTCAGAAGACAAATATCTTGCCTATGCCACAAGTGATGCAAGTTGGTAAATGCCATCCAACCGTTCTGAATCCGTGACGAGATTACATTAGATACCAGACCAACAAGACTGATGAGACCTCCAAGATAAGTGAATCGGTCGGTGTCTTCAACTACTTCACTTCCTATCATTAATTCGGATGATGATGAAAGCCATTCCTGAAGTAAAAGTTTACATTTGGAATGAGGAAGAAATGCACCTCAAACATACTTGAGTTCTTGTTTAAGGTGGTCAAAAAACTAAATTTTGTCAGCGCCTTCACAAAACAGAACTATATCATCTGCATATTCTAAGTCAACAACTGAATCTCCTGGTAAAAATCAATACCTGAAAAGTCAGATGATTAAATTATTATATCTAAAACGTTTATATGACAAAGTTAAATCAAAATGAGGAAAGCAGATAGCCCTGAAGTAATCAATTCCGATGACAGTTCACCATAAGCTCTGACTCGACCAGTAGTGTTCGAGTAGAGGACCTGTACAACGTTAATTTACTTCTTTGATACGTCCTTCAATGACAGATACTGTCACAGAACCTCACAGTCAATAGAGTCAAAGGCTGCTTTAGTGTCAAGGAACACAATTATAGTCGGACGTTAAAAAGTATATCTATGTTCCATAAACTGCCGAAGGGTGAATAACTGGTCCATACGTCTAAGTTCGGTCTGAAATCAGCCAGGTTTTCTTGAGTTTGCTCTTCACGTGCTCTAGTTCGACGTCAAAGTATCATTAAAGCTAATATTTCAGACACTATTTTAGTTAAACTGATTCCTCTATGATTGTCACAAAAGGGCTTTTATCCCTTTTCATAGACTGGGACGATCAGAGATACAGACCAGTCAGACGGGATTACGTCCAGTTCCCACATTCTGGCTAAGATTTCAGTTAATCTAACTGCTGAAATTGGACTACCACCCTTAAAAACGCAGGAGTTAGTCCATGATGCCCTGCTACTATCCCTCACTTTAGATTACTTTTAGCCTTTTTAACCTCACTCCACAACCCCGTACTGATAGCAGGAGGAAAATTGAAAAGTGTTGTTGTTTTTGAGTAAGTCGTAAACAAATATTCTGAATATTCGTTTGGTAGTATCCGTATACAGACGATTATCAGAAGAATATACCTATGTGCATTAGGTGGCATCCATGATAGAACACCATTTAAGAAACACCAGAAGCTAAATACTAATTTAAGGTAAGAAGATTGAGTGATAAAAAGTTCTAAAATGTTAATTGAATATATAATTATGTTACCTATTTAGATCTATTGCTGATGAATTTGAATCTTTATGTAACTATATAATGTAATTTGTATTATTATGGAATTTCATCAATGCTAAGTATTGAAAAAACATGACATTTGTTAGGGTTCAGGAATCAGCTCAACGAGACGTTAGTCTCTACACAAACAGAACTGTGGTATGCGTCTACGACGGTGAAAAACATGTGTTTTGAAACCAAATCTAAAGCATCAGTTTCCTCATGATTACAGATCTGCTTTGCTAAGCATTGTTAAGCAGCACCAAACCTAGGTTCGTAGATTCATGTCAATACCGTAGGACTAATTAGCCTACATAATTTTCCTAAACATAGATTTCAGTGAATTAATTCAATTCGGATCAATGAAGTATCATCCGATACATACATTAATTTCGTCCTTTGATGTGATTTGCAACTTAAATGGTTACTTTAGGTGGTGTTGCGTTCTCTGAGCTAGATATCGTAGTTGTTGAAATATCATTGTTTTTCTGGACTTTATCAGCCCCTCATTCATGCGTTTTCCAGAACGATAATGAAAGCTTCTCAATCAAAATGCGAGCATCAGATAACCTAATACCGTCAAAATCAATATTTTCTGTTTCAATACTAAGTGAACTTATATAAAATAGACAAAATATCGCTAGCAGTGGAATTCACAGTGTGTGCTTTGCCCTTTTTGAAACTCATCAGCTGGATTTGCCCACATCCTAAAGTTTATGGTAAATCCAGGACGCAATTCAGAATCCTTCTCTATAAACGTCAGCCCGTTATCCGTTTAGCTACTCATTTCCACCAGAGTAAACGTTAACTTTAAGATGGAAATACATCCAGACGATGAGTCCCAAGTAGGACGAAACGTGCGCCCTAAATTATACTGCTAGACATATTCTATTTATTTTACATAAACCTACCTCACAGTGTTTATATACAGGCAATCACAACAGAATGAACATATGTCAAAATTAACCAAATTTAAGTCAAAATAACAACAACGGGATAATTTAAAACATGAATTAAATAAATAAATTATCGTGTATTAAAAAATGCTTACCTAACCAATGGTACTGGAGTAACAGATTTACAGATTCTACCATTCTTAACTAATAATCCATTTTCTGAAGATCTATACGTTAATAAATCATTTTTCTTTACAGTATTTTGTAAATTTACTGTTTCTGCTACGTTGAAATCTTCATCACTACTCATGGATGATTCTGCTAAATGTGTTGTTGTTAATTGACGCTGATTTTCTCTGTAAATTTCACCAAATTGCCAACAAATTGGTTGTTTTAAATCTAACCAATGTTGTTGTGGTCCAATAATCGAACAGGACGACAGATACGAATCCAACCTATCACTTCACGTGAAGTAAGTTTATAATGTTTCATTAAATAACATCCAATCAGTGTACCAGTACGACCTAAACCAGCTGAATTTTTTTTAATATTTAAAATAAAAGATAAAAGAATCGAAATGTTGGAATGCACATCTATGCCAGACTTTACGTTACTTATGACTTATTGATTAACTAAACAAAGTGAAACAAATCAAATAACCTATTAGGAACTGAAAAGTTAAATAGCAACACAAATTTATTGTCTATTGACGTTTTTGTCAGTTAATACTGTCTAAGTTGAGGTTGTCCATGAAATAAGAAGTTATCAGTTATTTGAATGATCGTTGAAAAAAAGGATTTTAAGTGGGAAAAACTTTCCAATATCAATTTGGAAATTACTTCCAATGTACCTTATTATGTGGATAATAAGATCTTTAAATACAATTTAATGTACTAAACATCATTGTATATAATGAACAATGTTTCTTCAGTCTGTGTTATTGATATATCTGTAGGTATAAGTGAATAATTTGAATGGAGTTTTGTTCTTTGAGTTGGATGATTTGGTCGTGCAGCTTTCATTGTTTTTCTGAACATCATCAGCACAAACTTTAGGTAGAAGTCTGTGCTTGTGCTGGTGATGTTCAGAAAAACAATGGAAGCTCCACGATCAAACCATCCAGCCCAGAGAACAAAACTCCGTCAAAACAATCCACCTGAGCTACAAATCTCCACCATCTCATCAGTGAATAATTACGATTTTATTATAATTAAACATGAGTCCGATATATTTACAGTAACAGTGACTAGTTTGACGACACTTTGAACAATGATACAACAAACTGTTCATATAACCCCGTTTACTTGAAAATTTATTTAACAATGACCACAAGAAGATTTCAAATAACATTCGAGAGCAGTCAGTTATAAAACGATAAAAATTCAGTGAATTTTGATTATCACACTGATCAAATATTATCTCAAAAGCAAACAGTAACGCTTTTGTGATGCCAGCTCAGTGGTCTAGATGTTAGGCGTTCGCGCATAAGACCGACGGTTCTGGGTTCGAGTCCAGCGTGCGGCATAGTGGACGGGCACTGTCGAGGCGTCGCATACTAAGAGGAAACGGCCGTACAGTTCTTCCAAGTTTGAATGATGGTGTAGCTTAGATTGATTCATGATTTCAACCATTAGAATTACTACAATCTACACAAGTCCCCATTCTGATAAAACAATAAAGTTAAATCGAAAATCGAAGTTCAGGAAGTTCACATTCAATAATTACGAAAGTTAACTGAATGAAATCATGTCTAATAAATACAAGATATTTTTCTTGATTTCTTGGATGGAATTATATTTAGTGATTGAATCTCGGCAACAGAGTTTTAATAATCTACTATTTATAAACATTTTACATGATTGAAATAAATTCATTATCTCTATCAAGTATTTGTATATGACCATGTCAACGAAAAAAGTAAAATACCAAATCACCATTTAACAAGATACATTCCATATAATAACAATCAGCTTGATAGAAAAATCGATTGACCAATTGACATTAAAAAGCGTGGAATAAATTCACCTGTAATTAATTGTTACCTCATCTTCTCGGCAAACTAACCTTGTATGATAATATAAATTATTTTCAAATAAAACAATATGTACAAAAATCAAATCAAAGAATTTAGTGAGCAGAGATGAATGGTGGCTAGCAGTGAAATCCAAAACATGCGTTTCATCCTATTTCAGACTCATCAGCTGGATGTACCTGCATCCTAGAATGAACGAAACTATATTAAAGGCACTACATTAGGTACAATATTAATTTACATAAATGCAGTAATTTGTTGAGTAACAGCATCCAATATAATGTATGTAGAAGTATAAATAATATAGAAGCAAAAATCTTAGCAAACTGGTCTAATAATTAGCCTAATTTACTTAAATAATTTAAGGATTAAACATTCAAATACTGTACATCTGATTACGATCAGTTCTTGCAGTATAGGCCAAATAATGACTAAGGAGGTATATATATATATATATATATATATATATATATATATATATATATATATATATATATATATATATATATATATATATAATGATGAAGAATAAATAATTCAGTACAGACCAAATGTTACAATGTTTCGCATAGTCAAGCTTTAAAAAACAAACAGATTTCGATAAGACAAAAACTAACCTTTACAATGTACAGCAATTGCTCCCGTAACATTTTCGCATATTTCTAAAAATCGATTCATTATATGATCAGATGGACAACTCCCATCAGTAAAAAATAAATCATAATGAGCGAAGCCAGCATTGGTGAAACGTTTAGCATCGTAAACTTTTTTATTCAGCCTAATTATAGTGGTTACATTTCTTTTACGGAAATATGGAAAGTAAGCTTCGGGTGAATGTAGAGGATAACCTATATAAGTGAAATAAAATCAAACAAACGAATAGATTAAACTCAATCATTCAAATAAGCAAATGGTAATTAATGAAGAGATTGTAAGAACATTGAAATAATACTGAAGTCTACGCAAACTAGTCAGTAATACTTAAAGTATTTCAGCCTAGGAAAACTAATCACTGAACGTTGAGTTACTTTTCATAACTGGTCGAGGTCAACGGTGGTCCAACACTGATTAATCAATCGACCGCTTGGAACTGGTACTTGGGGCATCTTGGTAACCTCTTATCCATGTTACAGTTTTATCACCTTCCGCATTGTAAGATTTTATTTGTTCTCCAAGTGTACTAACAACGTCGAATAGCCAGGTTGGGAAAGGAAAACTTATGAAGTATCAGATGAACTAGCTTTAACGTAAGACTATGTGATAGAAGCTGCTATACAATTTCTGTTAACTTAAATGGGTTGAAACTATTGGTAAAACAACATAAGTGAGTTCATTCCGTCAAATGTAGTGTAAATCAACAGAAAATAAAACGTCAATAAACATAATCAATTTAAGCTTAGAAGCACATTTACGCAATGAAGCAAAGGAATTTCAGAGAACGCTTTCAATAGTAGGTTTAAATGAAAGTGTTTATTTCGAGCGGATAATAACATGATTAGGATTTAAATAAAATCTTGACAACAAATAAATTAATATATTTCACAAACCTTGTTGAATTACGTTTTCATTTAGGCAACAGCAGACTCTAATTTTAATATATGAACAACGTTTTAATAATTTTGACACAACCGCTTAATAAATCCCACACACAATAACAAGTAAAATACTTTTTTTTGGTATTCTCTTAATTTAAAACCATAAGCATAGTAATACTGATGTGAACGAAAACTTAGGTGGGGAAAACCAATTTATTGTCTAATACCAAATTACAGTGCCTTCGTAAAATATGAAAAGCATACATTAAATACATTATTTGCACATTTTCCTTCAGCTGTCCTCTACATACTTTATGATTCTTTCGACTCTGTTTTTATTACTTTTCCTCTGTTTCTCTTCCTATTCTCGTCAATTCAATCTTTTGCTGTCCACTTCAGATTGCTGCTACATACTACTTATATCTGTCAGCATAAATAGCATTCATTACAATGCCACAATATAATCGATTTCTAGTTAACTAACCACCGATGGTAGTAAAGTGGTCTAAGAAGAAAATACTGCATAAATTTTAAATAAAACATGCAAGTTTACACTTGATACTTTTGAAAAAATCAATTAGTTACATACATGTCATCATACGTAAACTTTTAAAACTTTGCACTGTAATAGTACTGATGATTTTATCTGACATGTACGTTTATCAAAACATTTACTCCGAATAAATCTATAAGCTTGGAAACAGTAACAAGGACTACCTTCATCATGTTACCCTCCATGAAATCTCATAATGATGCCTATCTGGATTCATAATTTCGAAATTGGAGCTTCAACATAAACAGATCGGACTAATATTCTTTTTTAAATGGTATTAATAATAGTACTGGTCTGCACATAATGAATGTAGCCTATATATTAATAAATAAATATGGTAGCTACATGGAAGAAAATTTTTCTTGGCCCACAGACTACAAATTCTTATTTCAATTAATTGTTTCATAATAATATTCAATCATTTACAATGTAATAAGAAAAACAAATCTTTATACAGTTCTTATTAAAGATTGATCTCAGACAAATCAGTGAAGGCTAGAAGACACTAGATAGCTATTTCATCCTAGTACTGAACCCTTTGGAAGTGGGTAACCATTGAGGGTCAAACTTAAGACCATCGGTATCATGACGAGCACTTAACCTGTAGACCTGTGAGTCGGTATCTAGTGAATAGTGACCGCTAAGGGGTTCCATACGAAATAACTTTCTAGTGCTTCCTAGTTTTCAGTGGTTTTCTAAGATAAGTCTATTATGTACCTTATAAAAATTCAACTATTTACTTAAACCCTAGAGTTTTAAAGTCTAAAATCAACATACCATTTTCTATCTTCGTTTGTGAATGTGGTCCACAAAACGCAAGGAATTTATTCGGTATTATCCAAGAGAGATCACCATTTTCTACTTTCTGTAAAATTATTTTAAAAAATGAAAGATTTGTAGAGATGATAAAACAGAAAAACAAATATTCGACTTACCTCAAAATGTTCATATTCTTGCAAATCAAATGTATCAAAGTCGAGAAATTTATTAAGTAAAGCCTAAAATAAAAACCAAAAGAAATCAGTTTCCAAAAAACGATAAATTTCATGTATTATTGTTAAATACTGATTTTTGTTGTTGGAATGACATAATCATAATAAACGATTAACAATTCTTGTCAGCTAAATCTGTCCAGGCTGAGGTTGTTCGTAACCTTTTCAATATCCAACAAGTTTGTTATATCTAGCTCTATCGGACGCTTATATTTATTTGATGACATAAATAGTTCACGTTATACCCCAATTTCCACCAGAAATTTCATTTCGAGACTTCACTTTCACTGTATTGTCACTGTTTTGTAATGCAGAATGTAAGGGTTGCACCATAATACACGAACATGATCATAACAGATAGTTATATATAATTTCAGATGTTTAAAATGAAATCTTTGATGCAAGTCACCCTTCGATATACAACATTCATTCATTAAATGAAAAGAAATATGACCGAAAGCTATTGATAAAATATCCTTATTGAAAATTAGAAATGTTGTGGATAAATTTAGCAACATAGAACAGCAACTCTTAGGGCTAATACTCGGTCGCAATTTTTCGTTCAGCATCAATCATAAACAAAAAAACTCCACTGGTAAACGTTTGGACAAGGTAATGGATAACTTGAATCAATGGCTCAGTTGATAACTGATTGTAGCTTTAAGCAATAGGAATTAGATTTGAATATCAGTATGAACGTCAATACACTATGGTGGAGGTATGTCCCAGCTGACGAGCTTCATATTGTACGAAACTCGAGTTTGGATTCCACTGTTAGCCATAACCACAATATACAAATAAACCGTAATTAACTCAAATACTTTAGTAAAACTGATTGATAAGTTAATAAAATGACTAGTTGTTAATATTATGTAGTTCATTCCTCAGTTCTAATCAAATCCTATCCATAGTTCAAATTAAGGCTATTAGTTTGATAGATTTAATACCCAGGTTCAATGTTGCACACGACTGATTGGTTATAATTTACTCGATGTTAAACGCTAATAGCAAATGAAAGGAAACCTTAAATTTGCTAGTTCGCAGTTACCATTTATATAGGCATCAATGCCCTTTGTGGAATACGAGCGGATATAATTCAATGTTATAATCAATGAACTTTCTGCTAAGGTAATTGAATCGTGACTTACAATGAAACAGATATGTCAACAAAATGATTAGGAATATTAAGAGATTAAAAAACTGCTCATTTCAAGCAGGGATCTGAAAATATAGATTTTCTGAAATCATTGAAAACAGACACTAACGAACACAGCTATAACTGTGATGATTTAGTTATAGAACCAAGAGACAATTTTATTTTGAGTAACATAATTCAACTGTGTAAGTTTTTAAATATTAAATTAGTATTTTGTAATTCCATCAGAAAAATCATTCATCGACAGCCTATATAAATCTTTGAGTCATCGATTTCCAATGTGTTTCAACTAGATAAAAAGGTATATTAATTCAAGGGTTTTGATAATTATAAAACTGGTCATTATGTAAACGATGACAATGCATTGATGGTCCTTACACGTTTCTCTTTATCAAAGTGAAATGCAATGTACATTATATGATTAAGAGCATCGTAATTCCACAATTGGCTCAAAAAACTTACGATGAAGAGAAAAAGTCATAAATAATAGCCTCAAACACATCTAGTTGAGATGGACTGTGGCTAGCAGTGGAATCCAGGATTCTCGCTCCGTCCCATCTCGGACTCGTCAGCTCGATGTACCTGCATAACAGTGTTGATGTTCACTCCAAACCTCGAAATTAGTGCCATCTGCTTCAAATGCCATCGCGTTATTGACTTAGCTACTCAGTCCAGATAGTCACTAGCTTCTGCAATCGGGTCGTTTCATTCATTTTTGTATAGATTGTTTGAATCTTCTCATTGATATTTAGGACTGCAATTGGTCAGTCTCTTGTTGGTATATGTGCATGGTGTGCAGATTGCCTTGATATTGCCTTAAGTCACATGAATTATAAGCTCCGAGTTAACATCAACTCTGAAATGCAGGTACATTCAACTGACGAGTCCAAAGTAGAACGAAACGCGCGTCCTGGATTCCATTGCCAGCCACTAACCATCTCTGTTAATAATGCCTGTGAATTAAGGCAATATCGAGGCAATCCGCACAGACGCCTATAAGAGACTGATGAATTGCAGTTCTAAGCATTAATGGGGAGATTCAAATAAACAGAACAAAAATGAATGGGATGTATCTTAGTGGGTTTTTTTTAATTCTAAAAATTGGAATTTACATTAGAAGTAAATAATGTATAAAAATGGATAACTATGAATAATATAGGTTTTATTCATTATCCCAAAGAAATTCAACTAAATAGAATAGGTGGGTCGCCATTGGTATGAGAATCAAAGACTCGCGTTTCGTCTCGTTTAGGAGTTATCAGCTAGATGTACTAGTTTTCTTATTGGGATTCAAACGCAGTACCTCTTGGTTCAAACGCTAACACGTGATCTATTGAGCTTCTGGATAATTTAAACCGTTGCTATTGATGATATGAACTTAAGCAATGATCATAATTAATTCTATATTAAATTTAATTGATAGATACATGGATTAATAGAAAAAAAAACATAAAATCATAGTGGATGTTTTATAAGGAAACATTTAGTCAAGACTTGAAACAGATTGAATTCCTGTTATATCTAGAGCTTAGATTCTTGCTATAGCGCATACTACTTGAGCGCTTGAACGCTAGAACTCTCCAAGTCGCAAGTTACAAGACAGAAGACGAGTGAGAAGGGATGTTATTCCAAACAATGTCAAATATGGTACAAAACTACCAGGTATTTGTAGTCTTTAGTGAAAATGAAATCATAATTACAGTCATCCAATCCTCATACAGAGGTTTTTAGCATTTGTCCAACAGGGAAGCTACAAGTCGAGATTCTGGGTGTTCTTCCAAAATATGATTGAATGGAATGTCTGGCGATTTTTAAGCAGCTTAGAACTTCCCTGAGTTCACTCGTGGGCCGTCCTCACACTTCCATCCTTTGAATACTAGACAGGGTAGATTGTGATCTTGAGTTTCTGAGACTAGTTATAATAGCTAACATTCGGCTTGGTCGATAAAGCTCGTTCAGTACTCAACACTAGAATACGGCAGTTGGAAGCGGACTAGTTTAACAACAAGCATATCTGTGTGTGAGAGTGGAACCAATAACTTTTTCCCTACTCGCTTCAACATTTTGGCCCATTTTTTTGGTTCTAAGGTAAATAAAGTATACACATTTTTATATCTGAATGAACAAAACAAAAATTTAATTTGCGGATTAATTGTTTCCAAGGTTCTAAAACTACTAGGTATTAGATTTATTTGTAAACATTTGTTTTCTGGTCGTCGGTGTTAAGGTTTGAAATCGATCAGTGTTTATTAGAAAACATGCATCCTAAGTGGACCACTTTGATACTACCATTTTGTCATATGTTTCTGATAAAGTTGGAATTCAGGAAGAATGTTTTATCCTATTTGGGACTGAATCTACCAGCATCTCAGTGTCAATCTTTACACAAGGATGACATTATGACATCAAATAATAAAATAACACAAGGAGGAATAATTATGAAAACATATGATGATAAAATTCTCATCTCTACTATTACCAAGTTTTGACAAGCCCAATACACTACGGAGTCGTCCACCTCTTTTTTCTTAAACTTTGAGCGTAAATAGCACAAAACTAAAAGGGTCACAAATCTATTTTCAAACTTCATTCACTACACATATATGATCATACGCGTGAAATGTTGTTGTCAATCTCTAAAGAGGTACACCCACAAAATATACGCTAACAAAGTGCCTTTAGAAATAAAATTGAATGGCATATAATATGTTCAACTGATGGTTAGAAAAAGAAATTTTTATTGTGTAAGAGACAGAATAATAATTAACATTTAGATGACATTTATTAAGGAAGATGGACATTTACCTGTTAATATACACTCACATAAACTTCAAAACTAATAAAGTTCACTATGTAGGAATGTGTACTGTAAGTCATAAACTGTTATAAAGCTTTGATTGATTGGTTAACAATGGAATTAATGAAGTAGTTGAGTTAATCACTGGCCTCAAGTTCCAATGCAGCAGATTTCAGACAGTAAAAATTATAACCTCACTAAGTATGAGAATAATTTAGTACGTTTAAGCATATATACAGACGTGGCAACGAAAGTCCTGTTTTGTAGTTCACATCACGGACTGACTATAACAAGACAACCACTGAAAACAGGAAGCATTGGACAGTGGTTTTGTTTTAGTGTGGGACTCTTCAGGAGTAAGCATTCACAAACACATGTAAGCTTACAATATTGTAAGTATACAGTTGTGAAGTTGATTGAATTTCATTAAAATTCTAGACTGATCTACGTTATACCATCATTGAAAACACCGAACGGCCGTTTTACCCTAGTATGAAACTTCTCAGCAGAGCATACACGATCACGTAGGCAGAAATCAAACCCAGGACCCTCGATTTCGAACGCCAACAATCAAGACAGTTTATGAGTCAGTAGTGACAGCAACATAAACTATATAACTAAACTTAATAATGGAAAAGTACAAATTGATAGTGTGATGACAGATGTACTAGTTGTGATAAGAATAATAAAGGCTTGGACTAGTGTCTGATAATAGGAAGTATATCAGAAACTTGGAAAAATAAACATTAAAATAACATTTGTTAAAAATCATTCAAGTTACACAATAAGTGTTCATATGAATAAACTGTGAAGAATATAAACGAAAAACAGGTGAATAAAAGTAAACGAACAAATGTTATGGAAATTAAGAAATAAAATCGTTTTTAACCCCTTCTTGTCCAAAGAGGGGATAACTTCAAAATTTCTTATGTAGGAGACGAGATCGAACCCTTTTAAAAAAGCAGAAATATGATAAATTACTTTGAATGAATCGTTTCTATCTACTACCTGACCGCTAATGGAATCATGTATTGTTTTACTCATACTCTTTCC